ACTAACCCTAATTGGGTTGTACCCCTTATGGGCTACCCCACTATAGCCTACACAATATGCATGAGCTATAATGTTCTGACAAAAGGATGACGGCGCTTATATCTAGTCCTCGATTATAAGCCCACCCCCTAAAAAAATATGATTTATTATAAGCGCATGTTGGTTTTTCATTTGAAAACCTGACGAAACACAGAAACAAATTTCATATTATCAGGGAAACGAACTACAAATTCGATTTCCCACACTCTGATCTCACCTTTTGCGCGTCTAGTCAGCATATGTTGTCATTCTGTCAGTTTGACTTGGCAGGGAATCACTCCCTGCCAAGCTGCGCGAGAATCAGATTCGCGACCCTATATGTTTTCGACTCGATTACAATCGGCAGAACGAGATCTACAGTTTGGTGTAAAACAGATAGAAAAACTTTTTGCCATTTTATAATCGCCGGCGCTTATAAATTTCCTCGATCATAAGCGCACCCCCTAAAAAACAGTGTTTTTTTATACCCCCAGGGGCGCTTCTATCCGGGGGCTGACGGTATGATGGTTGGAATTCTCATAGTGATCTTTAAAGCAGCCCCGTTAATACTACAAACGCAAATGCTTTCAAAAGGTATTCTTTCAAATATACGAGCTCAATACGTACCGAATGACGCCAATGAACATGCTACCATGATGACTACCTAGGGGTCTTCGAAAGGAGGACATCATCTAATCGAGTGCACATCAGCTTCTATGTGATCTAATGACCTCCACAGTTCTTTTCAAAATATCCTCGAGATTTTTGCATTCCACGTCCACTCCTGCATCTTGCACCCGGGCCAGAAAACTGCAACAGGGAAGGCACAGTGAACATAAGCTCATGGGCTATAAAAGGTACCAAAATATAGGAAAAAAATGTTCACTAAAGAGGTAAGAATTTACAATACAGCAGGTCAACTGAAACGTTCCCCTTCTTTTTTCACCATTCACCTGAAGTCAAGTGGCTTGAGGTCAACTGCTGATTGCACCATAAACAGTACCCTTCACATAATACATGTTACGGTATGTGTTCATAGCAAAACTTGCATCACATGAAAGAAATCTCACCTGCTTTGGATGGGCTCATGAACCTCTTCTGATGGCACCACATATAGTGCCCCCTCCAAGACAATATATACCATATGGACAGCTGCACAGATCTGCCCAATGGTGCGGCTGTCGATAAGCTTGCTTCATATGACAGGTCACAGACATCTCATCTGCTTCGGATGGGCCCATGATCCTCCTCTGACCGCAAAACATACACAAGGCCGATGGTGCCGCTGCCAAGTGCTTGCTTCCCATGAATTTTGAGTCGACTCAAAAGTCACCACAATGGTGCTGAGTGTTTGCTTCCCATGAAATATCCATCACCTGCTTCGTATGGCAGAAATCTCACCTGCTTCGGATGGGCCCATGATCATCCTCTGATCGCACCACATACAGTGCTCTTTCCAGGATGTAGTTCTTATGCACAGGCCCGATGGTGCGACTATCAACAGCTTCCTTCACATGACAGAACCCTGACGTGCATCGGATGGCAGAAATCTTACCTGCTTTGGATCGGCCCGTGATCTCCTTCTGGCCGCACCACAAACAGTGCTCTTTCCAAAATGTAGTTCCTGTGCACAGGCCCAATGGTGTGGCTGTCGATAGCTTCCTGGAAAGTGCCATAGGAGGATGTGGAAGAGGAGGCAGAAGCTAAGAAGGAGCAATGATATCAGTTCAGTCGTCTAACTCATCCTGGGATGACGAAACGTGGAGCAAAGAAATTAAGTGCAAGAACACGTAGAGCGCAAAAACTGTCTGAGAGGGGAGGACGGTGTTAATATGCCTGCATGTATGCCTCACTACATGCGTCACTACATGCGTCACTGCATGCGTCACTATATGCGTCACTACATGCGTCACTACATGCGCCACTACATGCATCACTACATGCGTCACTACATGCGTCACTACATGCGTCACTACATGCGTCACTACATGCGTCACTACATGCGTCACTACATGCGTCACTACATGCGTCACTACATCCGTCACTACATGCTTCACTACATGCCCCAATACATGCCCCACTACATGCCTCACTAGATGCCTCAATACATGCCTCAATAGATGCCTCAATACATGCCTCAATGCATGCCTCAATACATGCCTCAATACATGCCTCAATACATGCCTCAATACTTGCCTCAATACAGGGCACTAGTGAAAAGTTTTGGCCCTACGGTCCTCTTCGTTCCTCACGGCCCTCTTCACTCCTCACCTTTGCAGGAACAGCGAAGTTGTCAGCAAGAAGCCAAAAATGGTCCTTCTCTATTCAAAACAGCTCATCCGACGGCCGAGATAACACAATCTCATCTCCAGCAACGGCTGCCACTCGCCGAAAAGCAACGGGGAGCTCAGACATTGGCATATCAGTCTTGGGTACTGACAAAGGCGCAGCGTGGGTTGCGCGGTTGACTGTGTTCGTGACAGCTTCTGATTGGGCCACGTTTTTCCTTTTCATTGCCTTTTTTGGATTGTTGCTTTTGAAAGAAGAGGCAGCGGTTCGTATTCGAGAAGCTGCCCCTGCTTTTGTCCTATGATTGGCTGCTGCCTCAGTTGCTGCCCCGTCATTGGCCGTTGTCTCAGCAGAAGCCTCGGGATTGGCTGACTTGGCATAAAAGGCAACTGTTGCGGGATCATATCTCATCGCCACGATATCACCAACAGAAATGTCACTGCATAGGCAGAGGCAGATATGAGAGAGAAAATAGGGACATTCGGAAATAGGTTGAGGCAGACATCAAAGAGCTTTTCCTCCCTATTTCAGCGAGCAGAGATTGGTTCAGAGAACTGGGGAAGCAGAGCGGGGAAGCAGAGCGGGGAAGTAGAGCGGGGAAGCAGAGCAGGGGAGCAGCCGTTACTGCAACCCAGGCAGTTACTGCAGCAATGACTTGACGACGCAGAAAGTTGAGAAACCTACTGCTAAATAACTCACTGCAAGCCAGGAGGTAACCAAAAAAATAGTTTTTATTTTTTTCTTTCTTTCTTTATTTTTTTTCAAAAGTGACTGTCTCTATGGCCGTACTCACTGCAAGCCAGGAGGTAGCAGATATCGGCTAAGCACCCACTCGCCCTTTGTCCCCTTTATAATCGGCTTCATTGACTCGTCTCCAGCCACAGTCGGCCTGAGCGAGCTTAAGTAGTAGTCACGACTCATCATGATCTTAACGACCCTTTTTGTATGCTCAAAAAGGTTTGTTCCTGAGTGCTTCAAGTGGTTTTGAAAGAGACGAGGGAGGGAGGGAGGGGGGGTGGGAGGGAAGGAGGGATGGAGGGAGGGAGGGACGGAGGGAGGGAGGGAGAGAGGGAGGGAGGGAGGGAGGGTGGGATGGAGAGGAGGGGAGGTGAGGATAGTAAGCAACTTCCACAGCATGTGTGGCTGCTATATGTGGGATTGATTGTGAGTCCTCGCAGATGCAAAGTGCTTGTAAGTGCTTGAAAGTGCTTGTAAGTGCGTGTAAACGTGTGAAAATGGGTGATACTGCGTGCGCGCGTGCCATACAGCACTCACCAAGTGGACCACTGCATGGTAAAACGCGACCTTTTCAGCAAAGTACGCAAGCCGTCTCCGCAGTCCCATACTGGCTCCCCAACCCGAGCCTGAAAAGACGAAGCCTGGGACTTGAAGTTTGGGAAACCGCGGAAACCCGACTCCATGATTCCGCGTCTGGAAGTCTGAACCTGAAAATCCACCCTGGGAAATCTGATCCTGTCAAACCGAAGCTGAGCCGGTGAATGGAAACCTGAACCAGGGATTCAGACGATGAGTCCTGGAATTTGAGACGGTGAGCTGGAGTAACGAAATTTGAGTCCGAGACCGTCGGATTCCTGGGAATAGGAGCTTCGCGGTGGACGTGGACTCCCTGGTTGCGTTAGCGTCATTTTGTTTTTGAGACGTCTCAAAAACACCCTCTCTATTCCTGGGAATAGGAGCCTGGTTGGTGGACTCCCTGGTTGCGTTAGCGCCAATCTGTTCAATGATTTCGAATCATCCTACCAGGGGACCCCTAGGTTCAGCTCATCAGCAGCTTAGTAACTGGAGGAACGAAATCGCCTAGCAGAGCCAGCCTAATATCTCCAACCTGAAGCGGTAAGCTAAACTTCTCGCAACGTGTGTGAACCAGATTCAAGGACGTCTGGCTGATGCGTGTGAAACGACGAAGCTTAATCATACGCGGGGATTGGCGGCAAAGGAGAGGCTAGGCTGATACACGGAGGCTACGTCGTTTTATTCCGAAGGACGACTCAGAGAAGGGAGCGAGGAGAACAAAGGAGGTTGAGCGACGAGATGATCTAGCACGACCCGCGCTGGCAAAAACAACTAGCACGTGTACTCTATTCTGAGATACCGAGTGTCATGCTGAACGTAACCGAAATGACTGAGACAAACGAAGGAGATACTACAAAGAAAGACGATCCTCGTTATAAGTCTCCAGAAGCCCATTACTTGTGTAAATCCACCTGGTTACACCTTGTTCTACTTACGCAATTCTTCTCACATTAATTCCAAACAAACGAGTCTGGTTGCGGTGGCTGGCTGTAGCTGACTTGAGAGCGCAGGGCATTTGCTATTTCATACCTGGAGTGTGATGCAGTGCAACGCAAGATGCTATGGCAACATTACAAACCAATTGCTTGTCCAAAGAAAAGGTTCTAGATGTACTATCACTGCAAAGCAACACCGTTTGTGATGCCCATGGGGTTTTTTCAGATGGGTTTGCCACAAGACTGCCAGATTCTGGAAGACTTGATGACTTCGATAAGTATTCTTCGGAAAACATCCTTGATATTGCATTCCATGGCCATGATTGCCTCGTCTTGCAAATTGGCCTGATAACTGCAAGTTGGGATGGAACAATGAGATTCGACTCAGCACAGCCGACTAAAAATGTATTGGTACTGAGCTGGATGGGGCAGTTGTCCAGATCATCATGGGAAGACGAAACGTGGAAGCATTGAGTTCACCTGGAGGACAGAAAGGGTGTGAGAAGAGAGGGTGGTGTGGGAAGGTCAACTTTACGGGACCAGCGATGTGGCAAGTGTGTATGGCCATGTGCATTGTATGCACATTGGTGCATGCATAGTGCTTGCCTGTATGCCTCACTCACCATGCCTCATTGCATGCCTCACTGCATGCCTCACTATGAACCACTGATGCAAGCTTTTCGAGTCATCACCTTCGCAGGAACGTCTGGATTGTCTGCGAGCAACCAAAAATGGTCCTCTATCCAAAACGGCTCATCCGACGGCCGAGATGGCACAATCTCGTCCCCCTCAACGGCTACCACTCGCCGAAAAGCAAAGTGAAAAGGGTTATGTGCTGTCTCGGCTTGGGGAAGCGGATGACGAAGAAGATGAGGGAGAGGAGGCATCGGCTGCACTGGTGGCATCACTCGTGGCGGCTTCCAAAAGAGCCATGTTTTTCCCTTTTCATTGCCTTCTTTGGATTGTTTCTTTTGAGAGAAGAGGCAGTTAGTAACTGAGGAGTAGCTGTTGCCCCACTTGCTGTTGCCCCATTGGCTGATGCCCCATTGGCTGATGCCCCATTGGTTGTTGCCCCATTGGCCGTTGCATCAGCAGACACCTCAGGATTGGCTGAACTGGCATCAGAGGCATCTGGTGGAGGATCGTATAGCATCGCCACAACGTCGCCACAACATCGCCAATTGAGATGTCACTGCACAGGCGGAGACCGGCATGAGAGAGATGGTTGGGTGGGAGCAGGCGTTGACTGAGAGAACTGAGGCCGATTTTTGAGACGCCTCAAAAGCAGGTTTAGCAGGATCATATCGCATCACCACAACTTCACCACCTGAGATGCCACTGCACAGGCCAAGACATCAGAACAGGAGCAATTATACCCAGGTGCCATAACCTGCTTTCAAGGAGCCAAAAAAAAAAAAAAAAAAAAAAAAAAAAAAAAACAGGCGCCGTAAGCAAGCAAACACGACAAACGTGATCAAAAGGACTGGCTAGCGTAAAAAAACGCCAGCAATCTACAGCACTGCCTGGCGTTGCTTAAGAAGTGAGCGATTTAGATATAGAGTTTCAAGAAACGACCAACCAAAGAGATGAAAAGGACTGGCTCGCATCAAACATCGACAGCATCTACAGCACTGCCTGGCATTGCTAAAGAATGAGATGCGCTTCCAGCGGTTACGGGAGTTACGGGGCTAACTGTGAGATAAATTGAAGAAGAATAATTGAACACTTGTTTATTAGGAATATAAGTGAAGAAAGAAGGCTTTGCGTGCAAAGAAGATACTCCAGCGTTATTTCAAGTGCACTTGCTTGTTGTACGAGGAATTCTGGGTGTGACAGCACAGCACTCATATCAAACTTCAGACTCTTTGGTTTGCTATTGCATGTGGGAATATAGCCTCCGCACCACACTTGTTAGTGTAAATGCCGTGCCTAAGCACAACTACAGCGAGATTCATTACAGTTGGCAAGGCATTAAGCTGGAAACTTAGAGTATATGCATCTAACCCTAAAGCATAGATGTTGACATAAACATCAATGACCATTCGTACTGCAGGGCAAGAGGCGACTTTGGACGACTTTGGACGACTTTGGAAGGCTTTTGAGAGGCTGCCTCTCAAAACTCGTCTACTTACTGCAGGGCAAGAGGTGACTTTGGACGCACCTCAAGAGCCATACTCACTGCAAACCAGGAGGTAAGACAAGGCATAGATGTTGAAAAAACGTAATAAAACAACATCTATGGACATCGACAAGAGGCGGCTCAAGAGCCATACTTACTGCAAGCCAGGAGGTAGCAGATATCGGCTGAGCACCCACTCGCCCTTTGTCCCATTTATGATCGGCTTCATTGATTCGTCTCCGGCCGCAGTCGGCGTAACCAAGCTGAGATAAGTCCCGCGGGTCACGAGCAACCTGGCAACCCTTTTTGCGTGCTTCCAGTAGGGAGGCCGTGTTCCTGGGTGCTCAGCGAGGTGGGTCTAACAGGTGGGGAGGGAGCGAGGGCGGGCGGGCGGGCAGGCGGGCGGGAGGGGGGGGGGGGGGGGGGAGGGGAGGGAGGGAGGGAGGGAGGGAGGGAGGGAGGGAGGGAGGGAGGGAGGGAGGGAGGGAGGGAGGGAGGGAGAGAGGGAGTGAGTGAGTGAGAGGGATTGAGCAAGGGAGGGGTTGAGAATGATGCATGGAGAGATGGAGAGGAGGGGATGTAAGGATGACAAGCAACTTGCGCATCATGTGCAGATGCATCATGTGCAGATGCTTCATGTGCAGATGCTTCATGTGTAGATGCTTCATGTGCAGATGCTTCATGTGCATATGCTTCATGCATTTGTGAATTCTTGCAAATGCTTGACTTGACACATGTAACTCTGTGTGTAAGACCGCGTACGCCCATTCAAGCCCGTGTAAATCTCTGTGTAAGACCGCGTACGCCCATTCAAGCCCGTGTAAATCCCTGTGTAGGACCGCGTACGCCCATTCAAGCCCGTGTAAATCTCTGTGTAAGACCGCGTACGCCCATTCAAGCCCGTGTAAATCCCTGTGTAGGACCGCGTACGCCCATTCAAGCCCGTGTAAATCTCTGGTACGCCCATTCAAGCCCGTGTAAATCCCTGTGTAGGACCGCGTACGCCCATTCAAGCCCGTGTAAATCACTGTGTAAGACCGCGTACGCCCATTCAAGCCCGTGTAAATCACTGTGTAAGACCGCGTACGCCCATTCAAGCCCGTGTAAATCCCTGTGCAAGACCGCGTACGCCCATTCAAGCCCGTGTAAATCCCTGTGTAAGACCGCGTACGCCCATTCAAGCCCGTGTAAATCCCTGTGTAAGACCGCGTACGCCCATTCAAGCCCGTGTAAATCCCTGTGTAAGACCGCGTACGCCCATTCAAGCCCGTGTAAATCTCTGTGTAAGACCGCGTACGCCCATTCAAGCCTGTGTAAATCCCTGTGTAGGACCGCGTACGCCATTGTAATTGCGTGAAAGTGAGAGCATCATGCCATGCACCACTCTCACCATAATGAGCATTCCTCTTAACACCGCAGCCTGCTCATTTAGGTACCGAAGCCGCTACCGCAGTGACGCCATACTGGTTGGTTGCCCAATCCGGCCCTCGAACCCGCTTTTGGAGCTCCGACCCTAATTCGACTCTGGAAATTCGACCCTGAGAATCTGATCCTGCAAAACCGAACCTGATCCGAGCCAGTGACCTTGAGGGGGGAAATTGATTCTAACGTTCAACACGAGATTTGCTGGTGACTCCCGTCCTGTGCAGCAAATCCCATCGTGACAGGTCAGCAGCGCAACAGCTCGACGGTTTGACAGCGCAGAGAGATGCGAATATGGTTACATCTAGCTAGTTACCAAGAAACGACTCGCCTAGCAGCGCCAACCTATGTTCGACCTGGAGAGAATTTCAAGCTCCAACGAGTGTGAAGCAAGTTCAATGCCATTGGTTTCAAATCATACCACCAGAAGACCCTCGGCTCAGCTCCCTAGGAGGTTACCAAGAAACGACTCCGCCTAGCAGACGCAGCCTAGTGACTCTGAGGCTGGGAGGTAAACTACACTTCTCACAACATGTGTGAACCATTTTTTTGGGTCGACTAAGAAAATAAACTTCTCGCAACATTTGTGAATTGAATTAAGGACGTCTCAAGGCGACTGCATGATTCGTATAAACCGACGAAGCAAGCATATGGGCGGATTAGCGGCACTGGAGAGACTTGGATGATACACGAAGGCTATGTGCTATGTCATTCTCTAGACGAGGAAAGGGAGCAAGGAGAGCAGAGGAGTATAAGCTAAGAGATAACGAATGGCGGATAAGTTAGAGCATGACCCGTACTCACAGACGAGCCAACGACAACCAGCGTGCAGACTCTAATATGATATGCCGAACTATTTCAAGCGGATATAAAATGTCACGGAAAACAAATGAAAGGAAATCCGAAAAGCTCAATCCTCCAGCATAAGCAAAAAGTTTGCATTCATTTGTAAGCAAAATCCGTTCCAATGCCGGGACTTGAACCTGGGTCTCTCGGTAGGGCCGAGTATCCTAACAGAAAGACTACAACGGATATTGGAATAACCGACTAGACTATAAATGTAAATACAATAACACTTACCGATACTATCAACACGTACACATGATGCCCCTTTCACTCCCCTTTCCCATCTTTCATTTTGCTCCTGTCTCGCACTCGCGTCAATCCGGGGCAAATTGGGCCTGTTCGTAAGAGTGTGGTTATTCATTGATAAGGGAAAAGCATATACAAGCCGAATATAATGGTTTTTCCGAGAACAAGAAATTTCGGCATGACTAATTCGCTATGAGGACGGTATATATATTTTGTAGGAAAGAGGGGAAAGAAAGAAGAAAGGAAGGATCAAGGAGTAAGAAAAAGTAGTAGGGAAAAGAAGAGAGTGGTAGGAAGAGAGGAGAAGAATAGGAGAAGGGAAAAGAAAGAGGGAGGTGGGAAGAGAAGAGGAGAGAGAGAAAGAGAGTAAGGAGGAGGAAGCACCAAGGGACCAAACACGACAGCAACCCGCACGACAGCGCGGACACAGCGTTTCAAGCACAGCCACTATTGTTTTTTTTTTTTTTTTTTTTTCCTACACATATGCATCATATATGTATTGCATGTCAGCAACAGTCCAGAAGCACCCTGTGACGTGGTGCCATGTACCCTGCCCCCCACTCAGTGGGACTGGTGCGGGCATCCACCCGTCGTCAGACCACCCCAACTGCCGCACTGCATGCTGGATGATGCATTGAGCCTGCGCGCGCTGCAGTGCCACGGAGAGGCGTGTAGTGAGTCCTGCCTCAAATATCCGTGCTGATCCGTCATCCCCCCCTCTCCTGTCCCTCCTCCACTGTGCTATCCTCTTTTCGCAGAGCCCCAGAAACTGACGCAGCGGCTCGCTCAAAAGGCCAAAGGTCTCAGCCACGCACGCGTAAAAGTGTGGTGCCGGCTGTAGCCCCTCTAAGTGCGGCCCCCAGTGACGCAACTTCTCCTGTACCCGCCTAGCTGCTGCCACTCCAATCTGTGTGGGGGTCGCCCTTCTCAGCTGCATGTTCCCCTCCCGCTGTGGATCCGCTATAGAGACATCCACAAGAACCATCAAAGTCTGCCCAACGTCGCGGCAGGTGGGGTCTGGAATGCGGGAGAAGGAGGTGGTGCCTACACGGCCTATGCGTCTGTCTGGTCCCTCGGTGCCTCCTCTCCAGTTGTCTCTCTCCCCCTGTCCTCTCCTCCACCCCCCTGTCCTCTCCCCTCCCCTTCTCTACCCTCCCCCAACCCTCCCAACCCCCCTGCTCGATCCCTTGCTGCCTCTCTCACTCCCTGGTCCTCTCCTCCCGATCCTGCTGCCCCCCCTGTACCTCCGTCCGCTCTTTGCTGCTCCCGCCCCTGCCCCACCCCCGAGCCCAAACCCGGAGGCGCGGCGCCCTGGGCCTGCGGTCTCCGCTGGCTCCCCTGCTGCTGCCTCTGCTGTCCCCCCTCCCCGTCCTGACCTGTCTGCTCCCCCTGCCGTCCCCTCTGCCCCCCTGCTCCTCTCGCCACCCGACCCCGCAGCTGATGCTGTCCCCACTGTCCCCCACTACCCGGCTGTCCCGCCTCGCCCCTCTGCTCCAGCGGCCCCCCAGCCCGTGTCCCCTCTCCCACCACCGGCTGTCCCTGCAGTCTCGCTCGAGCCGCCTCCAACTGTGTGAACAGCGTAGAGTCCTCCACCTTCACCGCGAAGCCCGCCTCAACCGCGAAGTCTCGAAGCAAAAACTTCACCGTGTCGTGGATGGTCGTGGCGACGCCGAATCGTGGGCACCGAACCGCGTGATGGGGCACCGTCATATCGTTGATCGCCTGTCCACAAGAGCACTGACCTGTGAGAGCTAACTGGGCGATAGGGTGACCAAGACGGGATGATGAGGCCACCTGCCACTGCGCCTCCGGGATGCGCAGTGGATCGGCGTACGGCACCGACTGCAGCCACGCTCCTGCACCTACGCCCTGAAGGGAAGTCAAACGGGCAAGGTGTAAGGGAGAGGTGTGATGGGCACGCACGGCCTCCAAAGCATGCGCCTCCAGAAGGCGGCTCGCTCCTGTAAAAAGGGAATCGGGGGAGGCGGAAGCACAAGAGGGCCAGGAGGGAAGCAGGGAGAGAACATCCGGTGGGAGGCCCTCTAGCGCCGTCTGCAGAGCTCGGTCAATCTGCTCTGGCTCACCTGAAGCGAAGCTCCGTCGAAACACCTCGCCACACGCAGGGAGAGAACAGAGAATGGGTGCGCACTGCACCCAAGAGCACACGTAACTCACCGGAGCAATGCGCGCCATGCAACGAATGCCGAAGCCCTTGAGGCGGATCGGGAGGAAAATCTGGTCTAGGGCGGCCTCCCGGACGTCCTCGCGACAAGCCCAGGTCCTTGGCGTTAAAATCTGCTGAAAATTCTCTCCCAGACGTGCGTCCCACCGTGTAAAACTAGAGATCACTGCGGGCGAGGGAGGGACGGTCCTCGACAGGTACTGCGGACGAGTGCTCACACATGCCGAAAGAAGGCGGGCAGCTGTCTGGGGCTGGCGCAACCTCGGAAACCAAGGAAGCACCCGCCCCATCCTCTCGAGACGATCTGGGAGGCTGTGTTCCACAAACGAAACGGTGCCCACCGGAACGCCTGTCACGGTGAGCCCTCGGCGTGCGATCTCAAACCCTAGGCTCGTGAAAGCCTCCAAATCCCTGAACTGAAAGGACTCTGTCTGGTAGACGAGGCACTTGTGCGATTGGACAGCCAGGCCCATCTCGCTCAAGCGCCTCACGATCTCGGTGAAGTGGTGCAGCACCCTGTCTGGGGGGCCTAGCACGTACATGTCATCGGCGTACGACCAGAGCTGGACATCCCCCTCCATCAGAACCGGCTCCAGGGCAAGGCGCTCTGTCAGAGCGTACAAGAAGGGGCTGAGGGGGTCTCCCTGACGAGTGCCACGCTCCGAGTGCATCGTGACCACTCCCGTACCTGACCTGTAGTGGAGGTCTGAGGGCGTCCCGTAGAAGAGGTCGATGAAGGGGATCAGACACTGAAACTCCGGACTGGCCTGCAGAGCCTGGAACATCCTGTCTCGGTGGAAAGAGTTAAAGGCATTCGCCACGTCTAGCTGCAGGACCACCCAGTCTGGGTGGTCAGCCAGAGCGCGGCGGACGCCTCTAACCACGACCTCTATCCCGCACGTCACCCCCACCCCAAACTGCTGTGACGCCAAAAAGACTCTCGCCATCTGGTCACGTAGCTGGAGACAGACTGCTTGCGAAAGAATGCGGACCAACACCTCGCCGATGGCAATCGGCCGAACATCCATGTTCGACTTCGCTAGAGCCACGAGGGTGGAGGACGCTAGCAAAGTGCGCAGCTGGAGCGCAACGACCTCGGAGCTACTGCTGGTACACAACCAGGAGGAAATCGAGACTCTGAGGGAAAGCCAGGAAAGTGTCTCGAAGGTGCACAGCGACCCAATCGGATGGACCTCCCGAGGAGCCCCGTGGAGCTGTGAAGATCGCGCGACGTAAGTGATCCACCGAGAGCACAAGAGTAGACCCCTAGAAACCAAACAGCCAAGTTGGGGTCGGCCTCTCTGCATTGGGGTGCTTTGACCGTAGGCGCTGTATCGTCCCCTGTGTATCTGGGGCCGCCTCCGCGGACTCGAGAGTCGCGCAGGCCCATGAGGTCACATTGCACGCTGCCAGACAAAGGCAACGTGCAATGCGGCGCTCATTTGCTGTGGAGGGATCGGTGGCGGTGCGTGAGTGGTGACCTGTGCGTCGAGGGAGGGGTGTGAGGCGGCCTAGTGCCTCCGAGAGTAGCTCATCCCACTCACCTTGACCAAAGCGGGAGATGCGCGTTGCAATGGCCGCCGTGTGCGAGCGGTCAGGTGGCGTCGCTGGAGCAAGGAAAAGGGTGGGCGCTGCGGCGAGAAGGAAGGTAGGGCCAGCAACCTCCGGGTCCTGGGCAATGCGGGCTAGGATCGCACTGAGGACGTCGAGATATCCTCCGCGGATCCTCTCCGAGACACGCCGGAGAGGGCGTGCATGAATACGCTCAGGCGAGAAGTACTCCGTCCAGTCCACCGAGTCAAGCGTCTGCCACTGTGCGTCAGTGAACTGTATCCCGGTCGCATGCGGCTGTGAGAGGGAAGGGAGGATCGAGGTGGTGTCATGGACAGCCTGTGCCCTGCGAGCTGCGTCCGCAGGATGGCAGAAGGGAGTGTGGTGCTGGAGCGCGCGTCGGTTCGCGAGAGAGCTCCTGCAGGTGGAGCATCTCACGACCTGGTCGGGTGACGTCGCCGTGTCGGTGGGGTCGATTGGGGCTGTGGCGTCGGAACTGGCCGTAGAAGGGACCCCATGGTCGGCTTGAGCTCCAAGTCGATCGCCTGGGAGGAGGGTAGGAGAAGACTCACCGACCTCGTGCAGGAGGGGTGTCGGCAGAGGTGGAGATGGTGCCACACTAGATGGGGTCGGGTCCCCCGGCCGTACCGGCCTTGTAGTCAAGGAGGGAGGATGTGGAGGTGAGCCAAAAGAGCATGCCATGGTGTGCTCCTCTCCCTCGGCGGGGTGGGGTCCGCGTGGCGGCTCTGCTACTCCAGGCGAAGGGGTATCGGCAGGAGCGGAGACCTCGAGCCCGGTGCCGGTGCCCTCCTGTGCCACGGGAAGTGCGTCGGTGACAGGCTGCACAGGGGGAGGCGCCACCACATCTGGGTGCGGGTGACACAGCCTCAGAAACAGGTCCGTCTCCATCGGGAACGGGAGTGAAGAGCCTAGCTGAGTAGTGGGGGGGGTAAAAGAAGGGACAGAGCAAGTGACCTCCGCATACGTCCAGGTCCGGACCTGTGGGACTGGTAGGGTGGGGGCGTCCGGGGGGCTGCTGGGGCTCTGTATCGCCAGCAAGTCTGAGATGGCGGCCCTCACCTCCTGTGGGGTCTCGGTAACCTGCCTGCCTGTTGGCAAGGGAAGAAGGGCTGGCAGGGTAGGGGGTGGGGTGGGGCGTGTTGGCTGAGCAGAGCTCGGGTATGGTCCGTGCTCTCAAGAGCCCCCTTGGCTCTCCCCAGAGTCCATGGGTTGTGGAAAGGGGCCGCCGACCCGAATGGGGTGGGAGGTATGGGAAGAGGAGTCGGTAGCGTCTGCCATTGGCGCATCCCTCCTCTCGTCGGCCCCCATCCCGATGACGTACGCGGCTGCTGCCACCTGGGGGGGGTTTAGAGGAGGGGAGGGGCAGCCCGAGGGTGAGTGGGCTGGATCGCTCCCATGGCCCTGCGGAGGGGCAGGAACGGGAGGGGGGTGTATGTGTGTTGGTTGGCCCATAGGGGTAAGGCCTGGTGCAGGTTCAGCGGGATGTGAGGTGAGGAGGGGCGCCTGGGGGGGAAGGGAGGGACGGGGGAGTAGGTGAGCTGACCCCTTGCCGCCTTTGCCTCCCTTCTTCCGTCGGCGGCCAACCTGGTTTTGGTTGTCCGTGCCTGCTGGTGTGAGAAGGGGGGGCTGAGGGGCCGTGGGAGTGAGTGGGGGGAGCGTGGGTGGTTGGCCAGGTGGGGGGAGCTCCATTTGCATCTCCTCCCTCTCCATGGCATCTCCCTCCGTGGGGGCCGGCCGGGTGGGCTGTGCGGGGGGGGCAATGGCTGTCCGAAGGGGCCCCTTGTGGGGAAGGGGGCCAAAGAGGGCTGGAGTTATGCTCCCGTTAGGGCGTTGTGCCTGCGGTGGGGGGAGTGAGGTCTGAGTGACAGCGTGAGCAGGGGGTGAGGGCCCGGTACGGTTCCCCCTTCCATCTCCCCTGGAACCCTGTGGAGCGGCAAGAGGTGCTTGTTGGTTCAATCTACGGAGGTGGGCAGCCAAAGGTGCAGGTGGAGAGCGACGTTGTGGGATGGTGTAACGGCTGGGATTAGCTGCTTGGGGCTGGGAGGTTGAAGGTGGTGATGGGGGTGGAGTTGGAGGGGTGGAAAGAGGGGGTGGGTTCCGGGGCTTGTCCTTATGAGGGGTGCTGCCCCGGGCGTTCCTATAACCACACACTCCCTCGACCCTTTGTGCCGATGGGCATGGTCCCTGTGGGTTGCTCCCACCAGCCCGGGGGAGGTGATAGGAGGGGTGGCGGATCAGAGGTGTGGAGAGCGTGGAGTGGGAGTAAGAGGTTGGACCCGACACCTCGGAGATGTGTACCGCTGTGGGAGGGGGGGGACCTGGTGGGGGGGGGGGGGGGGGGGGGGGGGTAGGGGCTGGGTGTCCGGGGTCGGGGAGCAGGGCTCCTCTAAGAAAGCCCTGGCCTTGGCTGCCCCGCCTATCACACGGGAGTGCCTGCCGGGGTGGGGGTGTGGGGGGGATGTTCCTGGGGGAGGGTGGGCTGAGGGGTAGAGGTGGATGGGGGCGCCCTCCGAAAGCCTCGTCCTTGTTGTCTCCTCTGGTTCCTCCCTTGGTCCACCTGCTAGCATGGGGTTTGGGAGTGGGGGAGACCTCACCATGGGGCAGCGAGGGGTCTCTGTCGTCCCCGTCCGTGAGGGTGAGGTAGTGGGCCAGAGGGCCATCGATGAGCATCAGGTCCCCCATCCCGCTCCCCTCCGAAAGGGTCATAACCACCTCGTCTACTTCTCCCTTGGGCTGACCCGTTCCCTTCTCTCCTGTCCCCACTGTCCCTTGTCCCACCGCGCCCGGACCTACAGCTGGCACTTCACTGGCAGCACCCATTCCAACACTTGCTGCTCCAGATGTGGCTTCCGCCGCCCCTGCTGGAGCCTCTGCCGCCCCTTCTGGGGCCTCTACCGCCCCTGCTTGGTCTTCTGCCGCCCCTGCTGGGGCCACTGTCGCCCCTACTGGGGCCTCTGTCACCTCTGCCGAGGCCTCTGCTGCCCCTGCCCCTGCAGCCTCTGCTGCCCCTTCCCCTGCAGCCTCTGCTGCCCCTTCCTCTGCAGCCCCTGCTGCCCCTTCCTCTGCACCCTCTTCTGCCCCTTCCTCTGCAGCCCCTGCTGCCCCTTCCCCTGCTGCCCCTTCCTCTGCAGCCTCTGCTGCCCCTTCCTCTGCAGACCCTGCTACCCCTTCCTCTGCCGCCTCTGCTGCCCCTTCCTCTGCAGCCTCTGTTGCCCCTTCCTCTGCGGCCTCCGCCGCCCCTACCTACTCCGGTGCCATCTTCGGCAGCCCCTGCCACCCTTTCCTCTGCAGCCTCTGCTGCCCCTTCCCGTGCAACCCCTGCTGCCCCTTTCCCTGCCACCTCTGCTGCCCCTTCCCATGCAGCCCCTGCAGCCCCTTCCCCTGCAGCCTCTGCTGCCCCTTCCCATGCAGCCCCTGCTGCCCCTTCCCCTGCAGCCTTTGCTGCCCCTTCCTCCGCAGCCTCTGCTGACCCTTCCCGTGCGGCCTCTGCTGCCCTTTCCCTCATAGACTCACTCACCCCTTTCCCTGTAGCGTTTGTCACAGATTCCCCACCGGCTCTGCCCTCCCCCACTACTGTGTGGTTGGGTGTGCGGGCGGGATTTGGTGTTTCCATTTGTTTTTTGGCCTGGGAGTGGGAGGTGGTGGGTGAGTTAGAGGACCTCTCCACTGAGCCTGCACGGGTGCCCCCGCTATCATCTGGATGGAGGGTGGGCAGGGGTGGGCCACGCGGGTTGGGGCGGGGTTTTGAGCGTGCTGGCACTTCTTCATGTGTTTCTTTCCTTTGGGCTGGGTGTTCCTCTGTTCCATCCTCTTCAAGGGTACGCTTCTGGCCTCTAGGGTCAGAGTGTTTGAGTGCTTTCGCTTGGTCAGGTGTGGGTTGTTTCTTCTTGACTGTTGAAGTGGGGGGGGGGGGGGGGGGTGGGTGCGTAGGGGGTGGCTCGGATGCGGGCCCTCCCAGATCGCCGAGGGGCTCCCAGGTCTGCTTTTCCCCCACTCGTGGAGTGCTGGGGCATTGTCACAGATACGGCATGCCTGGTGGTGACGATGTGGGTGGCTGGAATTGGCTGGAAAGGGCGTCAAAGGGGGTAGAAACTCCCTGGCAGAGGCCGGGGTGGGAGGGGGTAGCTTGGAAAAACAAAGGGAAGAGGATGGGGACAGGGGTGCGTAGTGGGGTCAAGAGAGGGTAACAGGGGCAGACCGTTGGGGGGGATGGGGGATCAAGGGGGGGACAGGCTGGGGGACAAAGGGGAGAGGAAGTGGTGGCGGGTTGCAGGGGAGGTGGGGGAACAAAGGTGATGTAGCGAGGGGTGAGCCGGGTGGTGGGGCCGAAGTGAGGAGAGGCGGAGCAGAATTCAACGGGAGGTGGGGATGGGCAGGTGGAGCAAGGTGGGGAAGGAAGGGGGGGGGACAGAGGGGGAGGGGGAGGGTGGTAGAACTGGCGTGAGCCTGGTAGCGGGTAGTGAGGAGGTTGGGGGGCGGGGGGTGAGAACGTGGGAGGGCAGAGAGGGCACCGAAAAGAGGAGCTGTGGTAAATGCAGAATAAACTGGGGGGGCTAGAAGACAGGGGACAGAGGGGATTGGGGGACCGGTGAAAGGTAATAATAGCGGAGGGGCGAGCCCCAGGGGGGAGGAAATATGGAGGGTACTGGAGAAGGGGGAGATTGGGGGGGGTTGGGGAGAGGGGCTGGAAGGCACAAGGGGCAGGAACTGGGGGTGTAGAGGTTGGCTGGGGGAGGGGGAGGCGGTCTAGTGCCGAGGGAAGGCCGTTGGAGAGGATGGGGGACCAAGGGGGGGACGGGCTGGAGGACAGAAGGGGGGGGAAGTGGTGGCAGGGTGCAGGGGAGGTGGGGAAGGGGAGGTGGTGTAGCGGGGGGTGAGCAGGGTGTGGGGAAGGGTGGTGCAACCAAAGGGGGGGCCCGGGACAGAAGTCAACGGGAGGTGAGGGTGGGCAGGTGGGGCCCAGGAGGGAGGGAAAGGGGGAGGGCAGAGGGGGAGGGGCGAAGGGTAGTTGGTGAGGGAACGAGTGGTCGAGCTGGCGTGAGCCTTGCGGTGGGTGATGAAGGGGTTGAGGGGCGGGTGGTGTGAAAGCGGGAGGGCAGAGAGGGCACCTGAAGGAGACGCTGTGGAACAAGGAAAAGAAAGTGGGGGGCTGGGGCACAAAGGACAGAGGGGGTGGGGGAAACGAAGATAGGTGACAATAGGGGAGGGGCGGCCCCCAGGGGGGAGTGTAAATGGAGGATATTAAGAGAGGGGGTGACTGGCGTGGGTCGGGGGAGGGGGATAGAAGGCACAGGGGGCAGGTGCAGGGGGTGTAGGGGTTGGCTGCCGATGGGAAAAACTGTCTGGTGCCGGGGAGGGACGGGTGGAGCGCTGGGAGGACAGGGGGAAAGGGATGCTGGGGTGGTGCCCACGCTGGATACAGGTGAGGGGGAAAAGGTGACTGGAAGGGGGTGCACGGCTCATAGAAAGTTGGGGGGCAGAGTGGGGGTGGGCAGCGGGAGAAAGACAGGTGGGGGGGTAGAGGGGGTACGCTGCAGGGAGGGGAGTAGGGGAGCATTTAGGTGGAGGTGGGGAGTGTGGGTGGGGGGGGAGAAAGGGCGGGGCAGAGGGGGCAATAGCCCACCTTGAAACCTGCTCCTGTTACTGAATATATTTGTTCTTTTCTTTCTTTCTTTCTTTCTTTCTTTCTTTCTTTCTTTCTTTCTTTCTTTCTTTCTTTCTTACTTTGGTTGTGTTTCTAGTATGTTGGCAATGCTATCCGCGGGTACGTGACTGCTAGCGGCGGGTACGTCACTGCTAGCGGCGTGTACATCACTGCTAGCGGCGGGTATGCGACTGCTAGCGGTGTGTACATGGCTTCTAGCGGTGATATGTAACTGCTAGCGGCGGGTGCGTGACTGTTAGGGGCGGGAACACGACTGCTAGCGGCGGGTATGTGGCTGCTAGCGGCTGGAGCATGGGAAAAACTGGCGGCAGGCTGTGCAGGTAGTGCTGGCGGCGAATATGCTAGCTATGTAAGCTGGCGCGACGAGCGGCACGTTCGTACGGGCGGCTCCTGCGTTCCTACTGTCAGAATGTTATATTTGTCTAGCCTGTAGTGGGGTACTCAATAGTGAGTACAGCCCAATTTAGGGTTTGCTATATGTACTCAACTGCCTGCTAGTGAAACCCCTCTTTTCTGTTTCATTCATTCGTTCACTATTCTGACATGGAATCAGAGCAGGTCGACCCTCCCGGGTCGATCCTGTGCATGGGCCCACAGTTAGCTTTCGCTGCTGCTGTCCTGCCTATCGCGCGCCTCGGGCGCGCGCCGTTTTTCTGCCTGCCACGCGCCCATGGCGCGCAGCATTTCTTCTTCCCGCCGCGCGCCCCGAGCCCCGCGCGGCGGTTTTCTGCGTGTCGCGCCGCCCTGCTGGGCGCGCGGCGGTTTTCTGCCCTGCCCGGGTGGTTTGCTGCTCTATCGCAGCGCCCCCGGGGACCTGCGAGTCGCCCCCCGTCGCCCGTCGAAGCGCCCCCGGGGACCTGCGCGTCGCCCCCCGTTGCCCGTCGAAGCGCCCCCGGGACCCACGGCCCGTACAGCCTGCGCGCGGCCCGTACGGCATGCTCCAGGCCCGCGCGTGGCCCGTACGACCTGCGCCATGCCCGCCCGCGACCCGTCCAGCCCGCGCGCGGCCCGTACGGCCTGCGCCAGGCCCATGCGCGGCCCGTCCGGCCTGCGCCAGGCCCATGCGCGGCCCGTTCAGCCTGCGCCAGGCCCGCGCACACCTGCCCTGCCATGCGCGCACCCGCTACCGCACCGTGCTGCCTGTGTTAGGGTTTGGGGGTGGCGAGTATGGGGGTGACGGGTGTCTGCGGCCTCCCCTGCTCTGTCAGAATGTCATATTTGTCTAGCCTGCAGTAGGGTACTCAATAGTGAGTACAGCCCAATCTAGGGTTTCCTATATGTACTCAACTGCTTGCTAGTGCAATCATCCTCTCTTTCTCATTCTCATTCATTCCTCAATTCTCACATGGTATAGAGCTGGTTCGAATCCTTCCTAAGGGCCCACCGTTAAAATTTTTTTTTTACCTACCTGCCCGAAGCGCGCTTTGCGCTCTGCCCTACGCGGCCCCTTTGCGGCCCCCTAGTGGCCTTCTCTGCCTTACGCGGCCCCCTTGCGGCCTGTTGGCGGCCCCCTTAGAGGCCCCGTCGCGACCCCGTCGCGGCCCCGTCACTGCCCCGTCGCGGCCCCGTCACTGCCCCGTCGCGGCCCTGCCCCGTCGCCTGTCGTGGTCCTGACGCGGCCCCGTCGCGACCCCGTCGCGGCCCCGCCCCGGCCCTGCCCCGTAGCCTGTCACGGCCCCGCCCCGGCCCTGCCCCGTCGCGGCCCCCCTTGCGGCCCCTTAACGACCCTCGTCGCGGCCCCCCCTCCCCTCGCGGCCCCCCGTCGCGGCCCCCCCCCTGTCGCGGCCCCCCGTCGCGGCCCCCCCCGTCGCGGGCCCCTCGTCTCGGCCCTGCCCCGTCGCCCGGCGCCGCCCCTGTCCCGGACCTGTCGCGGCCCTGCCCCGACCCTGTCGTGGCCCTGTCGCGGCCCTGCCCCGGCCATGCCCCGACCCTGCCCCGGCCCCGCCCCCCTCATGCCTGTCGCGGCGCACCGGGGGCCCGTGCACCGCCCCCCCCCCCCCCCTTTCCCGTCGCCTTTCGTGGTGACCTGGGGGGGGGCCGCGACCTGGGGGGCCGCGCGTCGCCCCTTCTTCCGCCCGTTCTGGCGCCCTGGGAGGCCGCACGTCGGCCCCCGTAATCCCCCCCCCCCCCCCCCCGTAACCTCCCTACCCGCCATCCCGCCCTGCCCTGTGTTAGGGTTTGGGGGTGGCGAGTAGGGGGTGGCGGGTGTGTGGACTCCCCTGCTCCTCCTCCTCCTCTGTCTCCCACTGCTGCAGCTGCCGCTGAGGGGGGTGGATGTGTGGGAGCCAAAGGAGTGGTGCTAGGGGGTGGGTTGTGAGTGAACCTAGGGTGTAGCAAGGGGTGTGTGAAAAGGGGGGTGGGATAGTTTGGGGAGGTTGAAGGGGGGTGGCTGCCGTGAAGCCCGCAGCTCCAGTCGCCCGTGAGACCGTTGCGCCAGTAGCCCGTGAGCCCGTTGCGCCAGTCGCCCGTGAGCCAGTTGCTCCAGTCGCCCGTGGGTCCGTTGCTCCTGCAGCTCAGAGTTAGTCGCGGAGCCAGTTACTCCAGTAGCCCGTGTGCCAGTTGCTCCAGTTGCCAGTGTGCCAGTTGCTCCAGTTGCCCGTGTGCCAGTTGCTCCAGTTGCGCCGTGTGCCAGCAACTTCAGCTGCCGCCCACTACCTCCTCTCCTCTCATAGTCCCTCCTCCTCCACACTTGCCCTCTGCGATAGCCTCTAGCTTTGCTTACATTTGTGAACTATTGCTTGCTTACTTGTGCTCAGAATGTGTGGTGACATTGTGATCCACCCTGAGCTTGTCTTTTGTTTTGCTTTGCTTCTTGTGCTGATTACACCCCACTTTGGCTATGGGGGTGTGTCAGAATGTCATATTTGTCTAGCCTGCAGTGGGGTACTCAATAGTGAGTACAGCCCAATCTAGGGTTTCCTATATGTACTCAACTGCTTGCTAGTGCAATCATCCTCTCTTTCACTTCTCTCATTCATTCCTCAATTCTCTCACATGCTCCTCCTCCTCCTCCGTCTCCCACTGCTGCAGCTGCCGCTGAGGGGGGTGGATGTGTAGGAGCCGTCGGAGTGGTACTAAGGGGGTGGCGTGTGAGCAGTGCTAGAGGTGCCGCAGGGGGTGTGTGAAAGGGGGGTGGGACAGTTTGGAGAGGTTGAAGGGGGGTGGCCGCCGTGAAGCCAGCAGCTCCAGTCGCCCGTGAGACCGTTGCGCCAGTCGCCCGTGAGCCCGTTGCTCCAGTTGCCCGTGAGCCCGTTGCTCCAGTTGCCCGTGGGTCCGTTGCTCCTGCCGCTCAGAGTTAGCCGCGGAGCCAGTTACTCCTGTAGCCCGTGTGCCAGTTGCTCCAGTTGCCCGTGTGCCAGTTGCTCCAGTTGCGCCATGTGCCAGCAACTTCAGCTGCTGCCCACTACCTCCACTCCTCTCATAGTCCCTCCTCCTCCACACTTGCCCTCTGTGATAGCTTCTAGCTTTGCTTATATTTGTGAACTATTGCTCTGCTTGCTTATTGTGCTGATTATACCCCACTTTGGCTATGGGGGTGTGTCAGAATTTTATATTTGTCTAGCCTGCAGTGGGGTACTCAATAGTGAGTACAGCCCAATTTAGGGTTTGCTATATGTACTCAACTGCCTGCTAGTGAATCCCCTCTTTTCTGTTTCATTCATTCGTTCACTATTGTGACACCTACCCTTTCCACCCGTTCGAACTCAAGCTATGTAACAAATATGGTCAGATTAGGGTGAGAGGCAGAGATAGAAGCGGTGGTAAAATGGCGTCGGCGCATCTGTGTCCTAAAAACGGCTGGGCGCCGAGGAAACTATAACGATCGCGGCAGGGGAAAGGGGCGCCGCGTAACCGCCGCTAGAGAAAAACGACGGTCTCGCGGCCTCCCGTGTTTCCCTTCGCGACGGCTAATTGTCACGTGCTAACGAAGGTAAGGAATCGATGTGTTAAGCGGTGGGCCACGAAAATAACCGAGTCGCGCGCGGCTATTTGCTAGGAAAACGGCTTCCCGTAAAAGTCTAACCTAAAGGAACTATAGTCGAATGTCGAGGAAGTTAGGGCGGGAGCAGCGTTACTGGCGGGAGCAAAGTCGAACTCGTCCCCGAGTGATGTAACCGCGCAAAACGCCTCACTCCACCTCGCTCGTTCATTTCCCGCCACTCCGCGCTCGCCTCAGTCAGGCGCGGACGATTTCGACCGGTTCGCAAGTGGTTCCCGCGAAACGCGGGACCCTTGCGATCCTCTCGACACTCTTCACCAGCGCAAACCGCTCCGTCGAAACACAAAAACTAACCGCTCCACGGAAAACAAATGAAAGGAAATCCGAAAAGCTCAATCCTCCAACATAAGCAAAAAGTTGTAAGCAAGAAACGTTCCGTTGCCGGGACTTGAACCCGGGTCTCTCGGGTGAGAGCCGAGTATCCTAACCAACTAGACTACAACGTATGTTGATGAGAAATAAGTAAATATTTAAATCTATAAAAAGTAACTTCATTTTGCTCCTGTCTCGCACTCGTGTCAATCAGGGGCAAATTGGGCCTGTTCGTAGGAGTGTGGTTACAATTTGAACTACTGTTCCAATTTCACAAGTAGCCTCTAGTGTTTTGCACGGGAAATTTGGCTAACTATTCGCGGTCAAAGTTTTGGGGGCTTTAACTTGGGCGTGTAAGGCTGTGGGCCGTTGGCTGAGAATGTCGACCACTGCTCCTGTCGGTTGTCAGTGGGCGTGTTGAAAGTGGGCCGTTTCGCGGGGATCATGTGTACCGAGTCTGTGAGCTCACATTCTCATGGCGGCGGCATTTATTTGCATTGCCCTCTCGCTTCTAAGCTGCACCGTATTAGAATCCCCGCAAGCTGAGTCCCTTTCTCCCGACACAGTCCCATCCGATGGTGATGACCGCAATGATGACTTCGCGACTGCGCCTCTGGTCGTACAGCGAGGGTGTGACTCTAACGAGTGGTTGCGAACCATGGCCGTGATTGTGACTCAAGTGAAGGACGGCCTCGATGGCACGAGCATCCTCTGGTTCGTTTGTTTACATCCCCGGCTAGAAGCGTCTCGTTAAGGAAACTGCATTGCACAGATTCATTTTTAAAAGGGTAGCTGTAGGTCCACAGTTTGCCTCCGCTACTCGCTTCTGACTCTTCCTCCTCTTTTTCCATACCACATTGCTTTTCCTCGCCATCGGCCCCCCGCCCGATACCAGCAACGACGAATTCTGCTACCAGATTCTTGATTCCCTCTTGCGACTCAATAAGGAGGACAAGGATGGTGGAATGGAGGGAGAGACCGAACGGAGGGCTGACGAGGGTGAGGGTTTTGCTGACGTGGCGGATAAATTTGGCAAGGAATGTGGTAATGGGGGGAGGGACGAAGCAGGGGAGGACGGTGCAGGGAGGGATGAGGAGGGCCAAGGAGAGAAAAGACGTGTAGCAGCTGGAGGGAGGGGTGGTGGAGAGGTTAGGGGTGAGGAATTGCCTGTTGCAGCTGGAGAAGCAGGAAGGGGGGATGGAGAGGGTAGGGGTGGGGGTGGAGGGGAGGGAAGACGTGTCGGAGCTGGAGGTGGAGATGCGAGGAGGAGGGCGGAAGGAGGAAATCCGACGGTGCAGGGAGAAGATCTTGCTGACGTGGACACACGCAGTGATGCCACGTGTCCTGAGCTTCTCCTCCTGCGGCATGGTGAGTCAAAAATGTTGCCACTTGAACCAATCAGTGCTCACACCACAGCATTTGTGCCACGTCATGCGCTCCCTCCAATCAGAATAATCCACCCTTCCCTTTCTTCCTCTCCTCTCTATACACACTCTCTATTCTAGTCCACACAGAACCAGCACAATCCTTCTCCCCACTCACTCCTTCATTTCCGACCCCTTTCTCTCCCTCTCCCCAACCCAGGCACGCACCTGTTCCCCATAGGATTCCCAGCCACGCCTTCCACCTCTCCCCACCACCACCCGCCTCGCCCTCTGGAGCGCCCTTCCGTTCCGCGCCGCTCCATACACACTATCCATTCTAGTCCGTTCCGCTCAAATACAGCACAGTACCCCCCTCCACACACTTCCTCCTGACCCCTCTCCCTCTCCCTCTCTCCCTCTCCCCATCCCTATCCCAGGCACTCACCTCTTCCCCATCGGATCCCCAGCCACGCCTTCCGCCTCGCCCCAAGACCACCCCCCTCGCCCTCTGTAGCGCCCTTCCGCCCTGTCTCTCTGCCTGCACGCCGCTGCCCTCCCCGCACTCATTAATTTCCAACTCCTTTCTCTGCCCCCCTCCCTCTCCCTCTCCCCATCCCAGGCATACACCTCTTCCCCAACGGATCCGCTGCCCCTCCTGCCGCCTCTCCCCACCACCCCTCTCGCCCTGTGGAACGCCCATCCGCCCTGTCTCTCTGCCTGCACGCCGCAGCTCCCCCCGCGCTCCTTAATTTCCAACTTCTTTCTCTACCCCCCTCCCCCTCCCCCTCCCCATCCCTATCCCTATCCCAGGCACTCACCTCTTCCCCATGGGATCCCCTGCCGCACCTTCCGCCTCTCCCCACCACCACCCGCCACAACATCCCTCTCGCCCTCTGGAGCGCCCTTCCGCCTTGGCTCTCTGCCTGCACGCCGCAGCTCCCCCCGCGCTCCTTAATTTCCAACTTCTTTCTCTACCCCCCTCCCCCTCCCCCTCCCCATCCCCATCCCAGGCACTCACCTCTTCCCCATGGGATCCCCTGCCGCACCTTCCGCCTCTCCCCACCACCACCCGCCACAACATCCCTCTCGCCCTCTGGAGCGCCCTTCCGCCTTGGCTCTCTGCCTGCACGCCGCTGCTCTCCCCTCGCTGCCCTTCTTCTCGCCCTTCATCGCCCCGCCTCCTCCTCTGGAGAACGCGGAAGTGGCAATGCACCGCAGAGTGATGCAGGTATGTGAGAGTTGGACAGCCCCTCTCTCTGTCTTCCAATCTCCCTTGCTCGCCCTCTGGAGAGGGCACACCCCCCCCCACACCACCCGCCCCACCACCCCCTTCGCCCTCTGGAGAGCCCAACAGCCCTGGCTCTCTGCCTGCACGCTGCTGCTCTCCCCCGCGCTGCCCTTCTTCTCGCCTTTCATCGCGCCGCCTCCGCCACTGGAGAATGCACAAGTGGCGATGCACCGCAGAGTGATGCAGAAGTGGCAATGCATCGAAAAGTGATGCAGGTGAGTGAGACACCTCCCTTCTCTCGACCACTTGCCTCCTCACCACCCGCCGCCTCCTCTAGAGAATGCGGAAGTGGCGATGCACAGGTGGAGAGTGATGCATGTGAGTGAATGAGCCTGATGCTGGAAAATTCATTAATAGGATTGTTATACGCAATATAGAGGGACGCAACAGTGGGCTATAGGTCATGGCCACCCCTACGACTAGAATACGCTGAAGTGGCGATGCACTGGAGAGCGATGCAGGTGAGAGAGTGAGCCTTGCGCTGGAAACCGCACTAGCGGGAATCGATATTGACGCAGCTGGAGGCTTGGGGTAACGCGCGCATTTGAGTGGCTTCTGAAAATTGAGACGTCTCAGAACTACACTCACATCGATATTAATGCAGATGGAGGCTTAGGATATTGCGTGCATTTGAGAATATAGAAAAGCAGTTTGCATCATTCGCATACACTGTAGGTAGGGTGATGCAGTGCAGCTAGGGGGTACGGGCTACAGACAGCATGCATGCACTTGGGGGAATGAGTAATCATCAGATCCAGGTCATGTGGTCGACATAGACGCCGACTTAGACAAGTTGGAGTCCGTTTTGGAATTTCGGGAGTCATGTGGGCTACATAAATTCTCCAGGTCATGTGGTGCAATATCGGAGTCAGTTTTGGAGAATTCTCAAATGTTATTGTATCCATGCATGGCCAGGAGACCAAGGTTCAAAAATACGGTAATCGTAAATTACGGGTCGTAAATTACGGTCGTAATTTACGGTGGTTTTGCCAAAAATACGGTCGTTTTTTTGTTGGACATTTTTTGCAGCAATTGTTTTTTTTCCAGAAACTACTAGAACGCTTACAACGATGACCAGGAAGGCGACAACAAACTACACTACAGAGAAACAAGCCTACAATGGACCACAACACCACTACCATTGCTAAGCCTACCTAGTACCTACCTTTAGGCTAAAACTGCTCCTACTCCCTCCCCACACTCCCAACTCGGGAAAAAAACACACTCGAGTGGATTTGGGCGCACGAAAATTCTCACAAGCAGGGTGACGTTTGGGAAATGTCGAAATTCGCTATACACAAACTCGGTTTCAAATTTTCGGTCGTAATTTACGACCGTATTTTTAAACCAACCTAATTTTGCAAGGTCACACCGTTTTTTACCGTAATTTACGACCGTAAATTACGATTCCGTAATTTACGGTAAATTTTCAAAAATACGGTCGTATTTTTGAACCTTGCAGGAGACTCGCCAGATGCTGGTCATGTGATGCAGTGCAGCATAGGTTGGTGGTTCATGCATGTGATACAGTGATACTGGCAAGCACAAGTACTAGTACATACACCCCTCTCGCTCTGTAGGCAGAAAGGCACCCCGTTGGCTGGTGGGGCAAAGGAGTCAATCTCTGCTGGTAGCCCTTACTGTTTGTGTGCTCTGTTGTTTTACCTGAACGTCACCTGTTCAGGAGATTGCCAACCTGACGGCTCACCTGGAACGCGACCCAACAGATGCTCACCTGCTGCTGGAGAGAGGTGGGGCTTTCTTATCCTATGTTGAATTGAACCTTGTCAACCCCGCTGCTCTGCTTTCCTGCTTGGGGTTGCCTGTGTGGTTTGGTTCGCTTGTGTGCGTAGCTTGTGTGCTTTCATTGCTGCTTGTTTGTTCTGCGAGCGAGGTGATAAAAGTGTAGTTTTGAGACGTCTCAAAACTGCGAGCGAGGTGAGGCTTTTCTTACCTTATGTTGAAGCTTGTCAACAGATGCTCAACGCTGCTCTGCTTTCGTGCTTGAGCGACGTGAGGCTCCTGCACCCGCTCAGGCTGCTATAGTCCTGCTGTTCCGCGTGCTTTGCGTGCGTGACACGTTGGTGAAGTGCAATGTGTGGATTGGGTTTGTTTGCTGGTAATGCTGCAACAGGGTGTTAGGATCTATTTTTTAGTTGACTCAAAAATATACTTTTTTATTAACGACTCAAAAATATACTTTTTTAATCGACTAAAAAATAGACTTTGCGTGTGTGACACTTTGTTGAAGTGCAACGTCAGGACTGGGTTTGTTTCGTTGCTGGTAATGCTGCTATAGGGTGTTATGATTGGTAGCTGCCAGTGGTGCCGCTGCATGCATTTCCACTCACTACTCATTTTTCCATTGCCACTCATGCTCACATGCACAAGCAAAGGGTTGTTACATCGACAACCATGGCTGTGAAGTGAATCGCTCCCACCTTCGTTATTGTCACACCATTTCCCCAGGCAAAACGTGGTACAGCATCCACCGTTTCCCATCCCAGAAGCCATAGCGGACCAGCAGCAATCCGGTACCCTCTTGGGTTGTTGCGAGCTGACTCACAAGTCAAACAACCCTCGTTACTATCACACTACCCCACACCCCCAGGCAAGGCGTGCTACAGCATCCACCGCTTCCCAGAGGCCATAACGGACCGGCAGCGAGCTGTGGCCCTCTTGGCAGCCTCTGCTGCTCATTTCAACCCTAGCAGCAGTGGGAACGGCTACCACCCGTCCGACCTGCCTCGGGCGCTGCTCGCCCTGGTAAGCTGCTCCCTTTTGGATCCGCGCTCTTGAAGAACGGTAGTGTACCAGGCAGGCAGCTCCCCCCCGGCAGCACTACGCTGCCCGTTTGACGCCCTTTTGAATGTATGGTGCTCCATCCCTGTGCTGTTTGCGTGCGCCCTTTTGACGCGCCTGAATAGCACGGGTCTGCAAAATCTGGAGACGTCCCAAAAATACACTTCTATCACGTGACGACCCTAACAGCAGTGGGAGCGGCTGCCACCCGTCCGACTTGCTGCGGGCGCTGCTCGCCCTGGTAAGCTGCTCTGTCCGTGTGCTGGGATCCCTCGTGGAGCCCTCTGCTGCTCAAATCACCTGCCTAAAACCAGCAGGAGCAGTCGCAGCAGCTACCACCCCTCCGAACCACCAGGGGTGCTGCTCGCCGTGATAAGTAAGCTGCTGCGTGTGTGTGTGCGTGTGCGTGTGCGTGTGCTGTCTGTCTGTCTCCCACCGCGTGCAAGGCTGGTGCAGGGTGCATTGCGGGAGACACTGAGTGCTTGACCGCATATCCCAGCCCACCCATCCAGTCCCCTCTCATCCTTCCCCGTCACTCCCCTGTTCTCCCTCTCTCAGGGCAAAGGCCCTGCATGTGGCATGGAGGGTGCAGTGCTGCAGAATACAAAGGCCCAAGGAGCACCAATCGCTTTCATGCTGATTTTTGCCCATCCAACTCCTTCCCATGCTATCCCATCCCTTCAGTCCCTCTCCCAGGGCCAGGCTCTACATGGAGCAGGCAGGGTGCAGGAAGCAGTGTGCATTGGGGGAGACACGGAGCAAGCGCGTGTCTGCATATTCTGGCCCATTCATCACCACTCTCCCATGCTTGGCTGCTTGACTCTCCCTCACTCCCTCTCCCAGGGCCAAGCCCTACACGCAGCAGGCAGGGTGCAGGAAGCAGTGGAAGCAGTGGAAGCAGGGTGCATTGGAGAAAACCATGCACTATTCGCCACCTATCCTCGCACGTTCACCCAACCCTCTCTCATCCTTGCCCATCCCTTCCCCATTCTCCCTCTCCTTCCAGGGTCAAGCCCTGCATGCAGCTGGCAGGGTGCAGGAAGCAGTGGAAGCCAACGAACGCGCCACCGCCCTCCTCTCATCTCAGAACCTCACCAGCCCTGCCACGTCAGCGCCCAGCTCCTCCGCTGACACGTCAACAGCAGCCGCGTCAGCAGAGGACACGTCAGCAGCTGCCAGCTCAGCGGAGTGGGTGATGACAACTTCAGCGGCGTGGGCGCTGGTGGGGCTGTCGTACCATTGGCTGCCGGATGCTGACAAGGCTGAGAGGGCGTTCCGATTGGCTGTTGAGGCGGACCCACGGTGAGTGGGGCGGAAAAGAGCACTGTGCTTTGCTTTTGGTTCCGCCTCAATAGGAACCCACGCTGTTGGCTATGATGGATTATACGCGTTTAGCGTATATATGCGTATTGTATACACGCTAGCGTGTATACGCCATACGCTTGAGGGTCGGATCAGGCATATGCTTTTTCGGGCAGGGAAAAAAACATTTCGGGCAAGGTGGAAAAAAATTACCCCCTATCTCATCTCACTAAGACGTGCCCTAGCATTTTCCTGAGTCCGATCGGCGGGTGGGATGGGGCAGGGAGTAGACATCATAGCTAGAGGGAGTAGTGTTGGAGAGGCTGTTCAAGTTGGAGTGCGCGGGGACACTGCTGCAAGCGGGAATGCAAGGTAGGAAATGACGGGTTAGGAGTTGGATTGGCTGGTAAGTAGTGTGAGATTTGTTGGGGGTTCGATTTTGATAGGTTGGGGTTCGTAGATAAGATGGTTTTCAATGCGGTAGAGGGGATGGGTTCAAATGCTTAGATGGGACCTGAAATTCGACATTTGAATAGCCAGATGTGCCTGAAAACTTCGAAGTCAGATCCCAGCTTGCATAGACCGCGGATTTGCATTTCGACTTCGGCGAAATGCTCACCAAGAAAATCCGCATCTTTTCTGCGATTTTACTTTCCTGGGCTGCACGAAAAAAATTATGGCTGCGTATCGCGTATTCGCTAGCGTTTAGCGTATTGCGTGTACGCGCTAGCGTAGATACGCTAAACGCAAAGGGTCTAGAGCGTATAATCCATCATAGGCTGTTGGTCCCTAAATGGAGTTTTGAGACGTCTCAAAAATAAGAATCCACGTTGTTGGTCCCTAAATGGAAGAGTCTCTCCTCCTTCTCTCCCTGACCCCCACCCCTCTCCTGTCTTCACCACACATCTCCTCCCCTCCTTGTTCTCTTCTCACCCCTCTCCCTTTTTGCTGCAGCCCAGAAACCCCACCAGCACAGGCCATGTGCGCTCGGGCACTAAGGCCTCTTGTTTACTCCTCTTTGCCCCCACCAAAGTTGCTATACCACAAGTCTCCTCTCCTTCTCTCCCTAAACCCCACCCTCTCCCGTCTTCATCACACGTCTCCTATCCTTCTCGGGCTCTCCTCACCCCTCCCCCCCTTGGCTCCAGTGCAGGAACCCCAAAGCCTACCATGGTTGGCCAATGCACCGACAGATGACAGGGGACTTGAAAAGTAAGGCAGTGCGGCTACAGGCACCCCAAGGATAAGCCACGAGGCCGCTTCTCTCCTCTCTGCTCCTTTCCCTTTGCTCCAGTGCAGGAACCCCAAGGCTTACAAGCACTGGGCAATGCACCGACAGATGACAGGGGACTTGAAGTGAGTGCGGGGTGCAAGTGCTTGGGGAGGCTGGTAGTGAGTGCGGGGTGCAAGTGCTTGGGGAGGCTGGTAGTGAGTGCGGGGTGCAAGTGCTTGGGGAGGCTGGTAGTGAGTGCAATTTGTAAGTGCCAGGGGCAGCTGGGAGAGAGTGAGAATGGCGTGGGTGCGTTTGGAGTGAGGGAGAGTGGTGTGAGGGTTTGGCATCATGTCCTCATGTCCTCATGCCCTCATGCCCTCATGTCCTCATGCCCTCATGTCCTCATGCCCTCATGTCCTCATGCCCTCATGTCCTCATGCCCTCATGCCCTCATGTCCTCATGCCCGCATGCCCTCATGCCCTCATGCCCTCATGTCCTCATGCCCTCATGTCCTCATGCCTTCATGCCCTCGTGTCCTCATGCCCGCATGCCCTCATGCCCTCATGCCCTCATGCCCTCATGTCCTCATGCCCTCATGCCCTCATGCCCTCATGTCCTCATGTCCTCATGCCATCATGCCCTCATGTCCTCATGCCCTCATGCCCTCATGCCCTCATGTCCTCATGCCCTCATGCCCTCATGCCGTCATGTCCTCATGCCCTCATGTCCTCATGCCCCCATGTCCTCATGCCCTCATGCCATCATGCCCTCATGCCATCATGCCATCGTGCCATCATGCCATCGTGCCATCGTGCCCTCATGCCATCATGCCATCATGCCATCGTGCCCTCATGCCCTCATGCCCTCATGCCATCATGCCATCATGCCCTCATGCCCTCATGCCCTCATGCCCTCATGCCATCATGCCATCATGCCCTCATGCCCTCATGCCCTCGTGCCATCATGCCATCATGCCCTCATGCCCTCATGCCCTCATGCCCTCATGCCATCATGCCATCATGCCATCATGCCATCATGCCATCATGCCATCATGCCCTCATGCTATCATGCCATCATGCCATCATGCCCTCATGCCCTCATGCCCTCATGCCATCATGCCCTCATGCCTTCATGCTATCATGCCATCATGCCGTTAAGCCATCATGCCCGCATGCCATCATGCCCTCATGCCCTCATGCCATCATGCCATCATGCCATCATGCCATCATGCCATCATGCCATCATGCCATCATGCCCTCATGCCATCATGCCATCATGCCATCATGCCATCGTGCCCTCATGCCCTCATGCCCTCATGCCATCATGCCCTCATGCCATCATGCTATCATGCCATCATGCCATCATGCCATCATGCCATCATGCCCTCATGCCATCATGCCATCATGCCATCATGCCATCATGCCCTCATGCTATCATGCCATCATGCCATCATGCCCTCATGCCCTCATGCCATCATGCCCTCATGCCTTCATGCTATCATGCCATCATGCCGTTAAGCCATCATGCCCGCATGCCATCATGCCCTCATGCCCTCATGCCCTCATGCCCTCATGCCATCATGCCATCATGCCATCATGCCATCATGCCATCATGCCATCATGCCCTCATGCCATCATGCCATCATGCCATCATGCCATCGTGCCCTCATGCCCTCATGCCCTCATGCCATCATGCCCTCATGCCATCATGCTATCATGCCATCATGCCATCATGCCATCATGCCATCATGCCCTCATGCCATCATGCCATCATGCCATCATGCCATCATGCCCTCATGCCATCATGCCATCATGCCATCATGCCATCATGCCATCATGCCATCATGCCCTCATGCCATCATGCCATCATGCCATCATGCCCTCATGCCATCATGCCATCATGCCATCATGCCATCATGCCATCATGCCATCATGCCATCATGCCCTCATGCCATCATGCCATCATGCCATCATGCCATCGTGCCCTCATGCCCTCATGCCCTCATGCCATCATGCCCTCATGCCATCATGCTATCATGCCATCATGCCATCATGCCATCATGCCATCATGCCCTCATGCCATCATGCCATCATGCCATCATGCCCTCATGCCATCATGCCATCATGCCATCATGCCATCATGCCATCATGCCATCATGCCATCATGCCCTCATGCCATCATGCCATCATGCCATCATGCCATCGTGCCCTCATGCCCTCATGCCCTCATGCCATCATGCCCTCATGCCATCATGCCATCATGCCCTCATGCCATCATGCCATCATGCCATCATGCCATCATGCCATCATGCCATCATGCCATCATGCCATCATGCCATCATGCCCTCATGCCATCATGCCATCATGCCATCATGCCCTCATGCCATCATGCCATCATGCCATCATGCCATCATGCCATCATGCCATCATGCCATCATGCCCTCATGCCATCATGCCATCATGCCATCATGCCATCGTGCCCTCATGCCCTCATGCCCTCATGCCATCATGCCCTCATGCCATCATGCTATCATGCCATCATGCCATCATGCCATCATGCCATCATGCCCTCATGCCATCATGCCATCATGCCATCATGCCCTCATGCCATCATGCCATCATGCCATCATGCCATCATGCCATCATGCCATCATGCCATCATGCCCTCATGCCATCATGCCATCATGCCATCATGCCATCGTGCCCTCATGCCCTCATGCCCTCATGCCATCATGCCCTCATGCCATCATGCCATCATGCCCTCATGCCATCATGCCATCATGCCATCATGCCATCATGCCATCATGCCCTCATGCCATCATGCCATCATGCCATCATGCCATCATGCCATCATGCCATCATGCCATCATGCCCTCATGCCATCAAGTGTGTGCTCTTCCTCACCCACACCAGGGGCGCCATCCCTCTCCTAAGTTCCTAACCAAGTGGTTTTCCCGCGCCCCTTGCACCCCCAAGGATCACCTTTCTTTCTCTCCTTCCCCATCCCTCCCTTCCCCATGTCATTGCTTCTCATTGACCTTCTCACCCTCCCACACACCAGGGGCACCATCCCCCTGCTAACCAAGTGGTTTTCCCGCGCCCCTCGCACCCCCAAGGACCATCTTTCTTTCTCTCTTTCCCACCCTTCCCTCTTCTCTATTCCCCCACACCAGAGGCACCATCCCTCTCCTAACCAAGCGGTTCTCCCTCGCACCTTGCATCCCCAGGATCAACTTTTCTTCCTCTGATTCTTCTTCCCTCCCCTCATTGTTCCAACGTGCTCGCTCTCCCCACGTGCCTTCCATTTCACCCTCCCCCACACCAGGGGCACCACCCCTCTCCTCACCAACTGGTTCTCCCTCGCCCCTCCTGCTGCACCCCCAAGGAACACTCCTCTTCATCTCCTTCCCCTCCGTTCCTCATCCACCCCTTCCTCCCTTTCTCCCTCCCCCCACACCAGGGGCACCATTCCTCTCCTCACCAACTGGTTCTCCCTCGCTCCTCGCACCCCCAAGGATCACCTCGCGTTGGCCTGCTGTCGCCAGGCTCTAGGGCACATGGCACATGCAGTGAGTGCGTCTTGTGCACGGGTCAAGTCTGGGGGGTTGAACGTCTGATCTAGAGCATAAGCTTTAGGGTTCCACTCGCCCTGCGCATCCCCAAGGGCCATCTCTCCTGGGGCTGCTGTCGGCAAGCTCTGGGGCATGTGGCGCAATGCGGTGGGTGTGCCTTGTGCACGGGTTTGGGGTTTAGGGTTCCACTTGCCCCCCACAACCCCCCTCTACACCCCCAAGGACCACCTCGCCTTGGGCTGCTGTCGCCAGGCTCTGGGGCACCTGGCACATGCGGTGAGTGCAGCACTGGCAAGGGTGTGAATTTCAGGGTGTGGGGAATGTGCTGCTGTGTTGGGGTACGGGAGGGATTTAAAGCGTGGGGTTCCAAACGCCCCCCCAACCCCCAAGGACCACCTCACCTCGGGCCGGGCTGCTGCTGTCGCCGGGCTCTGGGGCACCTGGCACATGCGGTGAGTATAACACTGTTAAGGGTTTGGAATTCACAGTGTGGGGAATGTGTTCTTTGGGTATGTGGTGCTGGGGTATGGGGGATTGGAAGCCTGGGGTATGGGGGATTGGAAGCCTGGGGTATGGGGGATTGGAAGCCTGGGGTATGGGGGATTGGAAGCCTGGGGTATGGGGGATTGGAAGCCTGGGGTATGGGGGATTGGAAGCCTGGGGTATGGGGGATTGGAAGCCTGGGGTATGGGGGATTGGAAGCCTGGGGTATGGGGGATTGGAAGCCTGGGGTATGGGGGATTGGAAGCCTGGGGTATGGGGGATTGGAAGCCTGGGGTATGGGGGATTGGAAGCCTGGGGTATGGGGGATTGGAAGCCTGGGGTATGGGGGATTGGAAGCCTGGGGTATGGGGGATTGGAAGCCTGGGGTATGGGGGATTGGAAGCCTGGGGTATGGGGGATTGGAAGCCTGGGGTATGGGGATTGGAAGCCTGGGGTATGGGGGATTGGAAGCCTGGGGTATGGGGGATTGGAAGCCTGGGGTATGGGGGATTGGAGGCCTGGGGTATGGGGGATTGGAAGCCGGGGTATGGGGGATTGGAAGCCTGGGGTATGGGGGATTGGAAGCCTGGGGTATGGGGGATTGGAAGCCTGGGGTATGGGGGATTGGAAGCCTGGGGTATGGGGGATTGGAAGCCTGGGGTATGGGGGATTGGAAGCCTGGGGTATGGGGGATTGGAAGCCTGGGGTATGGGGGATTGGAAGCCTGGGGTATGGGGGATTGGAAGCCTGGGGTATGGGGGATTGGAAGCCTGGGGTATGGGGGATTGGAAGCCTGGGGGTATGGGGGATTGGAAGCCTGGGGTATGGGGGATTGGAAGCCTGGGGTATGGGGGATTGGAAGCCTGGGGTATGGGGGATTGGAAGCCTGGGGTATGGGGATTGGAAGCCTGGGGTATGGGGGATTGGAAGCCTGGGGTATGGGGGATTGGAAGCCTGGGGTATGGGGGATTGGAAGCCTGGGGTATGGGGGATTGGAAGCCTGGGGTATGGGGGATTGGAAGCCTGGGGTATGGGGGATTGGAAGCCTGGGGTATGGGGGATTGGAAGCCTGGGGTATGGGGGATTGGAAGCCTGGGGTATGGGGGATTGGAAGCCTGGGGTATGGGGGATTGGAAGCCTGGGGTATGGGGGATTGGAAGCCTGGGGTATGGGGGATTGGAAGCCTGGGGTATGGGGGATTGGAAGCCTGGGGTATGGGGGATTGGAAGCCTGGGGTATGGGGGATTGGAAGCCTGGGGTATGGGGGATTGGAAGCCTGGGGTATGGGGGATTGGAAGCCTGGGGTATGGGGGATTGGAAGCCTGGGGTATGGGGGATTGGAAGCCTGGGGTATGGGGGATTGGAAGCCTGGGGTATGGGGGATTGGAAGCCTGGGGTATGGGGATTGGAAGCCTGGGGTATGGGGGATTGGAAGCCTGGGGTATGGGGGATTGGAAGCCTGGGGTATGGGGGATTGGAAGCCTGGGGTATGGGGGATTGGAAGCCTGGGGTATGGGGGATTGGAAGCCTGGGGTATGGGGGATTGGAAGCCTGGGGTATGGGGATTGGAAGCCTGGGGTATGGGGGATTGGAAGCCTGGGGTATGGGGGATTGGAAGCCTGGGGTATGGGGGATTGGAAGCCTGGGGTATGGGGGATTGGAAGCCTGGGGTATGGGGGATTGGAAGCCTGGGGTATGGGGGATTGGAAGCCTGGGGTATGGGGGATTGGAAGGCCTGGGGTATGGGGGATTGGAAGCCTGGGGTATGGGGGATTGGAAGCCTGGGGTATGGGGGATTGGAAGCCTGGGGTATGGGGGATTGGAAGCCTGGGGTATGGGGGATTGGAAGCCTGGGGTATGGGGGATTGGAAGCCTGGGGTATGGGGGATTGGAAGCCTGGGGTATGGGGGATTGGAAGCCTGGGGTATGGGGGATTGGAAGCCTGGGGTATGGGGGATTGGAAGCCTGGGGTATGGGGGATTGGAAGCCTGGGGTATGGGGGATTGGAAGCCTGGGGTATGGGGGATTGGAAGCCTGGGGTATGGGGGATTGGAAGCCTGGGGTATGGGGGATTGGAAGCCTGGGGTATGGGGGATTGGAAGCCTGGGGTATGGGGGATTGGAAGCCTGGGGTATGGGGGATTGGAAGCCTGGGGTTGCACTTGTCCCTCTACACCCCCAAGAACCATCTCGCCTTGGGCTGCTGCCGCCAGGCTCTGGGGCACACTGCACATGCTGTAAGTGTTATGCCCATTCACGCGTGCCTAATCCCACGTACCCATTCCCACGTACCCATACTCACACATGCCGCTTCACATATGCCCCTGCACTCATGCCCATCACCATCACCCACCATTACCCACCATCACCCACCATCACCCACCATCACCCACCATCACCCACCATCACACACCACCGCACACCACTGTGCAGGTATCTGCCTTCACTCGCATCATTGACACCCCATCCGACGCTGAAGATGCGCCCATCCTCTTCCACGCCTTCTACCAGGTGAGCTGTGCTACTGTGGGGAGTGGTAGGTGCTTTGTCGGGAACTACCTTGTGGTGTGGCTTCTATAGATAGATTCTCAGGCGATCTGCCTACCAAGCCAACCCATCCGACCCTGAAGATGCGCCTTCTACCAGGTAAGCTGTGGGGAGTGGTATGGGCTTTGTAGGGAACCACCCACCACCGCACACCACCGTGTAGGTATCTGCCTTCACTCCCATCATCGACGCCCCATCCGATCCTCTAGCGGCTCCCATTCCTTTCCACGCCTTCCACCAGGTACTGCTGTGGGGAGTGGTAGTTGCTGTGTAGGGAACTACCTTGTGGCTTCTATAGTTTGAGGTTGATTTTGAGAATTCTCAAAATCAACCTAAAAAAAAAATATCCTCAGGTGATCAGGCTGTAGGAACAATAGGTGCCTTGGAGGGAGTTACTAGGTGATTTTCAGTGAATTTACCAGGTGGCATCTTGGAAAATGCCTGCTGGCCTCCAATCACCAAGAGACCTTTGAACTACTTGACTTTTAGAAAAGTATGAGTGTGGTTTGTTGCACTTTACCACACCGACCTCCTGCTACTTTCGTCCATGCGTGCGATCGCTATTCCCACGGCACTGCTATTTGATACGTCCTTACCTTGTAGATATGCCTCATTTAACTCCCAATCTCCTCGCTAGCTTGCTGGAGGTGTTGCACTATCTCTATCTCTTCCTCCCTGCTTCCTTTCTCTCCTCTCCCCTCTCCCCCCTTTCAGCGTGAGATCGCCACATTCACAGCAATGCATCTCGACAGCTCCTTCAGTGACTTCTCCCTCGAAGGCGCGTTCAGCACCAAGTTCCTGGTGAGGGCGTGCATGGCAGCATTAGGCAGGGATGGCAAGGGCATGCAGGCAACATGCGGGAGGGATGGAGAGGGCATGCATGGCAAGGGCAAGCAGGCAGCATGAGGGAGGGATGGAGAGGGCAAGCAGGTAGCATGAGGGAGGGATGGAGAGGGCAAGCAGGCAGCATGAGGGAGGGATGGAGAGGGCAAGCAGGTAGCATGAGGGAGGGATGGAGAGGGCAAGCAGGTAGCATGAGGGAGGGATGGAGAGGGCAAGCAGGTAGCATGAGGGAGGGATGGAGAGGGCAAGCAGGTAGCATGAGCGAGGGATGGAGAGGGCAAGCAGGTAGCATGAGGGAGGGATGGAGAGGGCAAGCAGGTAGCATGAGGGAGGGATGGAGAGGGCAAGCAGGTAGCATGAGTGAGGGATGGAGAGGGCAAGCAGGTAGCATGAGGGAGGGATGGAGAGGGCAAGCAGGTAGCATGAGGGAGGGATGGAGAGGGCAAGCAGGCAGCATGAGGGAGGGATGGAGAGGGCAAGCAGGTAGCATGAGGGAGGGATGGAGAGGGCAAGCAGGTAGCATGAGGGAGGGATGGAGAGGGCAAGCAGGTAGCATGAGGGAGGGATGGAGAGGGCAAGCAGGTAGCATGAGGGAGGGATGGAGAGGGCAAGCAGGTAGCATGAGGGAGGGATGGAGAGGGCAAGCAGGTAGCATGAGTGAGGGATGGAGAGGGCAAGCAGGTAGCATGAGGGAGGGATGGAGAGGGCAAGCAGGTAGCATGAGGGAGGGATGGAGAGGGCAAGCAGGTAGCATGAGTGAGGGATGGAGAGGGCAAGCAGGTAGCATGAGGGAGGGATGGAGAGGGCAAGCAGGTAGCATGAGGGAGGGATGGAGAGGGCAAGCAGGTAGCATGAGGGAGGGATGGAGAGGGCAAGCAGGTAGCATGAGTGAGGGATGGAGAGGGCAAGCAGGTAGCATGAGGGAGGGATGGAGAGGGCAAGCAGGTAGCATGAGGGAGGGATGGAGAGGGCAAGCAGGTAGCATGAGTGAGGGATGGAGAGGGCAAGCAGGTAGCATAAGGGAGGGATGGAGAGGGCAAGCAGGTAGCATGAGGGAGGGATGGAGAGGGCAAGCAGGCAGCATGAGGGAGGGATGGAGAGGGCAAGCAGGTAGCATGAGGGAGGGATGGAGAGGGCAAGCAGGTAGCATGAGGGAGGGGTGGAGAGGGCAAGCAGGTAGCATGAGGGAGGGATGGAGAGGGCAAGCAGGTAGCATGAGGGAGGGATGGAGAGGGCAAGCAGGTAGCATGAGGGAGGGATGGAGAGGGCAAGCAGGTAGCATGAGTGAGGGATGGAGAGGGCAAGCAGGTAGCATGAGGGAGGGATGGAGAGGGCAAGCAGGTAGCATGAGGGAGGGATGGAGAGGGCAAGCAGGTAGCATGAGTGAGGGATGGAGAGGGCAAGCAGGTAGCATGAGGGAGGGATGGAGAGGGCAAGCAGGTAGCATGAGGGAGGGATGGAGAGGGCAAGCAGGTAGCATGAGGGAGGGATGGAGAGGGCAAGCAGGTAGCATGAGTGAGGGATGGAGAGGGCAAGCAGGTAGCATGAGGGAGGGATGGAGAGGGCAAGCAGGTAGCATGAGGGAGGGATGGAGAGGGCAAGCAGGTAGCATGAGGGAGGGATGGAGAGGGCAAGCAGGTACCATGGATCGCCACACTCACATCAATGCGTCTCCACAGCTCCTTCAGTGACTTCTCCATTGAAGGCTTCTTCAGCACCAAGTTCCTGGTGAGGGCATCTAACAGGCGTGGGGAAGGGAAGAAGGCGAAACACCTGATGGCTGACAAGTTGTCATAAAATCTGAGTAAGTAAATCACATGTGGCTCATGTGACATCCGTTGTAGTCTAGTCGGTTAGGATACTCGGCTCTCACCCGAGAGACCCGGGTTCAAGTCCCGGCAACGGAAAACGTTTTTCCAGTTTCTGAGGAACCAATTCGGTGCGCAGTCAGATGAAACTCAACTCAATCATAGATTCATAAGAAGAGGCGGAGCAGCGATGTTTTTTTTTCATTCTTTCCCCAGGTATTGCTATGCCTTTCCCCTGTGCTGTCACTCCAGCTCTCAAATTCGTTGCTTCAGAACCACTGACTCTTCTTAGTTGACTACAAATCGGCCCACAAGGAGGGCCTTAGACACCTCTCCTTCTACACTGTTTTTTCGCAGCTTTTTTTGGAGAATTCTCAGAAAGCATCTGTGAGGATTCTCAGAATCGACCTTGAGAATTTTAAGAAATAACCTTGCTAAGAAACAACCCTGAGCATGTTTAAAAACAACCTGCAAACAAAAGGAAGGCCCAAGAAACCCTCTTCTTCCACACCATATCCTTCCATCCCGTCCTCCTCAGAACCACTGGGCGTACAAGAAGGATCCGAGGAAACCTCTTTCCTGGCTATGCCATGCTGCCCCACTCTGCTGCCTTTGCTCCCTTCCTTTCTCCTTAACCTTCCTGTTCTGTGCCCCGGTCTGCCCCACCTCCTCACCCATCAGAACCACTGGGCGTACAAGAAGGATCCGAGAAACCTCTTTCCCGGCTATACCATGCTGCCCCAAGCTGCTGCCTTTGCTCCCCGCCGCCCGCCTCGGTGGGCGGCAGAGGAGGACAAGAGGGAGAGGGAATGGGTGGTTCGGGCGGCGGACATGATTGGTCGGCGCGTGCAGTACAGCAGCGTTGGCAACGTTTTGAATAGGAGAGCGGTGAGCAATGCTGCAATGGTTCTTGGGCTGGGTGGGATGGAGGATGAGATGGTGAGAAGTGCTTGTTTGGGGCGGCGAATCTGATTGGGCGGCAAGTCTGATTGGGCTGCAAATCTGATTGGGCGAAAAATCTGATTGGGCGGCAAAATTCGATTGGGCGACAAATCTGATTGGGCAGCAAATTTGATTGGGCGGCGTGTGCAGTACAGCAGTGCTGGCGACGTCGTGCATAGGAGATTGGTGAGCGATGGTGGTTGGGAGAGGCAGGGAGGATGAGAGGGGAGGATGGTCGGTTTGGAATGGTTAATTTGATTGGTCGGCACGTGCATTACGGAGGTGTTGGCAATGCTGTGAATGGGAGAGCAATGAGAAATGGTTGTGGGGAGGGAGGTTTTGCGGCAGTTGACTTGGTTGGTGTTTGGGAGCATGCAGTATAGTGGTGTTGGCAGTATCGTCAATTGGAGAGCAGTAAGCGATGGTGGCTGGGCGACCGAGATTTTTTCTTGGCGATTTTCTGGGCGCCTCAAATTCTTTAACTTTCGTTTCTTAGTTGCCTAAAAGATTGAGGCGCTGCGAAAATCGGTTCGGTGTGTGCAATCACCACGCGCTTCCAGTCACTCCTGTGCAACTCTCTTCACTCCTCGTCACCGCTCCTCACCTGGCATTTAAACCCCCCACCCCTCTTCTCCCATTGGTTTCCCCAACCGGTAGCACAGGGCAGCGGTCCTGGCAGCGCTCTTATCGAAGCAATCAGCACACCCCCATTCACGCCTATGCTGCTCTCGTTACTCCCTGTCACCGCTCTTCACCTGCCATCACTCCCGGTTCACCCTGTTGATTCCCAAATGGCAGCAAAGGGCAGCGGGCATGGCAGCGCTCGAAGTGATGCAATCAGCACGCGCCACGTGGCGGCGCTGGGCCAGGAGAAAACAACCACATGGGCTGATGGAGGGGAGGAAAGCTGCAGGGCATAAGGAAAATGAGGAGGATGAAGAGGACGAGGAGGAGGAGGATGAGGATGAGGATGAGGAGGATGAGGAGGAAGAGGAGGAAGGGGTGGGGATGATTGTGAATGGGTGGAGGGGGGTGTTTGGCATTGGTGCGAGATGGAGGCAGCTGGTGGACCCGTGCGAGCCGGTTTTGTGGATGGAGAGGGTCAGGTGAGGTGCAGTGCGGTTGGGGGGGAGAGGAGTTGTGGTTGTGGTTTCCCTGGGGGAGGTGCTGGCGAGATGGAGGCAGTTGGTGGAACCGTGTTAGCCGGTCTTGTGGATGGACAGGGTTAGGTAAGACAAGGTGAGGGCTGATGGGGGAAGGGATTTGGAGCGAGGTGTGTTGAGCGGAAAGGGAGGAGTTCTGGTGCGCTGGTGTGGATCGGAAATGTGTTTGGAGTGGTGAGAGATGGGTAGCTGGCTGGAGGAACCATGTGAGCCGGTCGTGTGGATGGATGGAGGGGGTCAGGTGCGAGGCTGGGTGGGTGTGCGTTAAAGGGAAGAAAAGTTGTGGTTATGGTAAACAGCAGGTAGAGGGAGAGTGTGAGGAGGTCTTGTGGATGGATGGAGGGGGTCATTCGGTAAGGGGGAAGGGATTTGGGGTGAGGCTAAAGGGGGTTTGGGGGGAGCATGGGGGTGGCGATATGGGGGGTTGGTGATATGGGGGGATGGTGATATGGGGGGATGGTGATATGGGGGGATGGTGATATGGGGGGGATGGCGATATGGGGGGATGGCGATATGGGGGGATGGTGATATGGGGGGATGGTGATATGGGGGGATGGTGATATGGGGGGATGGTGATATGGGGGGATGGCGATATGGGGGGATGGTGATATGGGGGGATGGTGATATGGGGGGATGGTGATATGGGGGGATGGTGATATGGGGGGATGGTGATATGGGGGGATGGTGATATGGGGGGATGGTGATTTGGGGGGATGGCGATATGGGGGGATGGTGATATGGGGGGATGGTGATATGGGGGGATGGTGATATGGGGGATGGGTGATATGGGGGGGATGGTGATATGGGGGGGATGGTGATATGGGGGGATGGCGATATGGGGGGATGGTGATATGGGGGGATGGTGATATGGGGGGATGGTGATATGGGGGGATGGTGATATGGGGGGATGGTGATATGGGGGGATGGTGATATGGGGGAATGGTGATATGGGGGGATGGTGATATGGGGGGATGGCGATATGGGGGGATGGTGATATGGGGGGATGGTGATATGGGGGGATGGCGATATGGGGGTGGTGATATGGGGTTTGGTGATATGGGGATGGCAGTATGCTGCTGTGTGTTGACTGTGTGAGCAGGTGTGGAAGCAGTCAATCAGCACTCCATTCCTCACGAACTCTCCCCTCACTCTCCTCACTCCATCCCTCACGCACTCTCCCCTCACTCTCCTCACTCCATCCCTCACGCACCCTCCCCTCACTCTCCTCACTCCATCCCTCACTCACTCTCCCCCCACACCATCCCTCACTCACTCTCCCCGCACACCATCCCTCACTCACTCTCCCCCCACACCACCCCTCACTCACTCTCTCCCCACACCACCCCTCACTCACTCTCCCCCCACACCAACCCTCACTCTCTCTCCCCCCACACCATCCCTCACTCACTCTCCCCCCACACCATCCCTCACTCACTCTCCCCCCACACCATCCTTCATACTGACATCACTCTCCCCCCACACCATCCTTCACTCACTCTCCCCCCACTCCACCCCTCACTCACTCTCCCCCCACACCACCCCTCACTCACTCTCCCCCCACACCATCCCTCACTCACTCTCCCCCCACACCATCCCTCACTCACTCTCCCCCCACACCATCCCTCACTCACTCTCCCCCCACACCATCCCTCACTCACTCTCCCCCCACACCATCCCTCACTCACTCTCCCCCCACACCACCCCTCACTCACTCTCCCCCCACACCATCCCTCACTCACTCTCCCCCCACACCATCCCTCACTCACTCTCCCCCCGCACCATCCCTCACTCACTCTCCCCCCGCACCACCCCTCACTCACTCTCCCCCCACACCAACCCTCACTCACTCTCCCCCCGCACCTAGGCATGAGCAAAGGGCGAACTCGAACATGTTCGAGTTCGCCCACCCTCGAACATGTACTTTTGCCGAACCGAACACTGTTCGATTCGGCGAACTATTTAGCTGAAAGTTTGTGTTCGCCGTTCGCCCTATGTGGCGAACGATTTTTTTCAGCTGGCGAACACGAACATGTTCGAGACGAACATGTTCGTGTTCGCCCTGGGGAAAATTCACTACAGTCACACATGTCAGAAAACAGTTTTCAAGGTTCAGGATGATAGCAAAATTTGTGCAGGGTGTATATGTGTGCATGCAACGAACCCAATAGTACAACATCACATACTGTGAAGGGAAATGTCAAAGTCTAACAAATTCCTACACTAAGTGACTAAAGCGCCACTGCACTGCTACTACCAACAACAGCATCCTCTCCACCAGCTGTGTCGTCAGCCTCCACACCCTCCTCCTCCTCCTCCTCGTCATCCTCCACTGCCCCCTCGCCCTCAATGGCGAACTCTGGTGGTGCGACGCCTCTCGGTCGGCGGCCCTCGCCTATCCTCTGGCCAGGGTGTGAACTGTACCATGATCTGAGAATCATGACAGCTCGCGTCCTCTGAGAAGCAAGGCGGTGCCGCTTCTAGGAAATGAGGTTGCGACCAAGGGAGAACACCCGCTCACTCGAAGCGGACGTGGCAGGGATGGCGAGATAATCCCGGGCCATGCGCCTCAGCGTCTGCATGTTGGTGGCACTGCGCCAGTACTCTAGCGCTGTCACGTCGCACCGCACCCTCTCGGACAAGTACCTGCTAACCTCGTCGTCCTGCACCATCCCACCCGCCCCCGCATCCTGGCTCGCCGACAGACGCGCCGCAAGTCGTCGGCGACTAGGGAGAAACTGCGCGTCATCGTCGTCCTCCTCCTCGTCTCCCTCCTCCTCCGCAACGGGGGCAAGTGGGGTCGGCCGTGGAGCAAGCTCTGCAGCCCGGGCCTGGTACTCGGCCACGCGGTCGCGCACCAGCTTGATCACCTCGCCAGACGCCGGACGCGGCCTCACCCTCCTGTCGGTCTCGGGATGCAGCTTCTCCCAGTGCGCGTCGTCGAACCACGCCGCCTTCATGGAAGGGTCCAAGAAGGTGGCGATCCAGTACTCGTTGCTGGTGATGTACGCGTACTTCTTCATGTGGCTCAGCGCCGCCACGATCATCGGCTGCAGCGTCGGAGATGGCCCCTTGGCAAGGCGCGACTCCATGGCGTCGATCAGGCCGTTGTAGTACGGCACCACCATCGACACAGTCGGGTACGCCGCCCCCTCTGCTGCCTTGGAGACCTTGGCGAAGGGGCTTAGGAATGTCTTCACCGCCTGCAGGGTCTCCCAGTCTGCGTCTGTCAGGCGCAAACTCTCCACCTTCTTCTTGTCGGTCTTCGACAAGCCCTGTCGGGTAGAGGGAATGGTTTGGGGGGAGGTATGAGGGAAACTGTGATTATGGAGGAGGATTATGGCATCCGGCCGGGTTGAAGAAGCACTGACCACCACCCTCCTCCGACATCCGCCTGAAGGCGGCAATGTTGCTAGAGGCGTTGTCTGTCGTGAAACCAAGACAACGCCCCTCCAACCCCCACTGCACAATCGTCTCCTCAACCACCTGCGCCATCTCCCTGCCCCCATGCCGCCCGAGCATCTCACGGAACTCAAGCACCATTGTGCGCAGCTGGAAGTTCTCGTCTATCCAGTGACCAGTCACCACTAGCCATGCCTTGTTGTTGGGTGCCGTCCACATGTCGATGGTGATCGACACCTTGCACCCCAACTCCCCCTCCTTCGCCAGCATCTCCGCAATGGCGGACTGGAGAGCTGCTGTTGCATAGACCACAGTGTCGCGGGATACCGTCCACCGCGAGGGGATGAAATTCTTCTGTGCGCAGTTGCGGTTTAGCAGGATCAATAGCTCCCGAAACTGGAGGAGGGTAGAGTCTATGTGGAGAAAGACGCTGGGGTAGCCCTGCGTCCTGCGTCCGGACGCAAAGACGCAGGACGCGCGTCCGGACGCAAAGACGCAGGACGCGCGTCCGGACGCAGGACGCACCCTGGAAATTTTTTCGGGCAGACCGAGATATTTTTTTTTTTCGCGATCGCGAAATTGACATTCGCGATTTCGTCGCGAATGTCAATTTCGCCGAAATTCGACACCCCCCAAGCAAATTCGACCCCCAAAACCAGCCATCTAATTCACCCCTAACCCCCTCCCCTTTTTGCAAAATTGATTTGGAAATCCAACCCCTCTCCACCACTCCACAACTAGGAAACCCAACCTTTGTGGTCCACCACCCCCACAAAGCCCATTTAGTTCATGAAACCTCTCATTTGTGCTCCCTTTTCTCACAACCCAATTCTCTTTCAAAAACCCTAGTGGTTTTAGCTCCTTTCCGCGCACCACCGTTATGGCTAGCTCCTTGTGTTCGCGACCTTGTGTTCGTTGCGCACAACTGGAACGTTGTGCACAACCACCACAAGGGTGCGGCGGGTGCGGGGCCGAGTGGGGAAGTCAGGAAGGCGGGAATAGTGGAGGGGAACATTCCCCCCTGACCCCTTCCCGAGGGGTACAAGCTTGAGGAGGATGGAGAGGTGGAGGTGGATGAGGATGACCTCACCTTCGACGAGTACAAGGAGCAGGAGGATTTGGAGAAGGAGGAGGAGAAGGGGATGGAGAGCGAGGAGGATGAGTGATGCATGTTAGTTAGTGGTAGTATGCATGCATGCTAAACAACCCTTGGACTAATTGTGATTATGGAAATTTGGGGCTCACCTTCATGTTCTATTGTTGTGGCTGAAATTTTGTTGTTGAGGAGAAATTTTGCTATGAAAGTGTGTCCCCCCCCCCCCCCCCCCCCCCTCTTACCCCCCTCTTCCCTCTGCCCTATAACTTTTTTTTTGGCTGCCCGGGGGGTTTTTTTTTGGCTGCCCGGACCTGCGTCTTTTGCTGCGTCTCGGGGGCCCTAAACTAGCGTCCAGCGTCTGGACGCATGCGTCCAGGACGCTGGACGCGTCTTTCTCCACATAGGGTAGAGTAGAGACAACTGTGAATGGTGGATATCCGAATGGTGGACATGTGAATGGTGGACATGTGAATGGTGGACATGTGAATGATGGACATGTGAATAATGGACATGTGAATGGTGGACATGTGAGTGAATGGTGGACATGCGAATGGTGGTGGACATGTGAATGGTGGACATGTGAATGGTGGACATGTGAATGGTGGACATGTGAATGGTGGATTACAATAGAAGCATGAAATAGTCAACCACATACTGCCAAAACACCAGGCATGGGACACTCACGGCCTCGGACTCGACGATGCGGAAGGGGAGGTCGCAGGTGACCACCAGCTTGGCGATCGCCTGCCGTAGCTCCTCCGTGGACAGCTTGGTTGTCATGAACCGCTCCATCCCGCTTGACCCCCGAGCTCCACCGGACGCCGTCCCTTTCTTCTTGGCGAGATGCGGCCAAGACTTGGCATGCGGCCACCCATCGACGTAGCCATCCAGCACACCCTTGTAGCCCCCACGAGGAAACGTCTCCCCAGGCAAGTGAACGGACGGAGTGTGGTAACGGTGATGCCACACGTGCATGTGCGCTGTGTGGTAGCTCTCGAAGTGCCGCTCGCCGGGTGTTGTTGTGGATTGCTTCGACGAAATCCTGTCAGTGCAAATCTTGCACTGACGCTTCTCGTCTGCACCTTTAGGCCCGAACATCTGTACTTGCCACCCCGGTTTCTTATTACCCTTGCCAGTCCCCTTACTACTCTCGGACCCTCCGTCCTCGTCTAGGAACTCCGGAGCGACCACACTCTCGCCCAAGGGCTTCCCAGTGAATGTGCAGGGATATGCTCGCTCCCTCAACTTGCTCGCCCTCTTCCTCCGCTTCGGCATCCTAATGGATGCCCGCTTTATCCCCACCTTAACCCCCACGCTCCCTCCTCCTTCAGCCACATGCTGTAAGGCCGCCTCTGTCGCCGCCCCTCCACCACCCTCTCCCACCCCCTCCTCCACCTCCTCTGGCTCCAACCCATCCATCTCATGGTCCTCCTCATCATCCCCCCCTTTCCCACCGCCATGCGTCTCGGGTCCCACCCGGCCTCAGTGTGTTCCCCGCTCCCCTCATCGTCCTCATCCTCCTCGCCCTCACCCTCCTCCTCCTCATCCTCCTCCCCACTCCCACTCTCCGGCTGCGTCTGCCGAGAAGGAGGGGGTCGCGGGCCTGAGTAACGGAACGAGTGACGGGACGTCGGCGCCGCTACGGAAAGAAACCCCCCGACGAAACAAGCACCGGCTCCTGCAGGTCCATCCCCTACTCGCCCCTGCATAGGTCGTGGTGGAGAACCTGGTGTACCGCCCTGGGCGCTGCCTGCACCTCGTTCTACATATCCATGTTGGCTGGAAGCCATAAATCCGCCCTCGGCTTTAAAACCCTAAAACCCCAAAGGAACGGTCGCAAGCCACGGATAGCACGGTCCTAATTGAACTCCTAGTTACGTGTGGCACGGAGAAATGCCCGCCCCTACAACTAGAGAATTATCCTCTACGAAATTGATCCCGTAGCTACTACGAACTAACCCCTCGCGATTTCTGAAATTACCCTTCACTCACTACTACGAACTACTTAGTTGACATGTTCGTGTAATAGTTAGGGAACGGTGTGTGGTGGCTCTTAGGGATGAAGCCTATGGTGGTTGAGGGAGGGAGGGCTAACCAACAAACGCGTTTTGAGTTTGAGCTCAAAAAATGAGCTCAAACTCAAATTGGCCGCGACCTAAATTTGGTCGCGGCCAATTTTGACGCGAACACTTTAGTGTTCGCGTCAAGCCGAAAACGAACACGAACATGTTCGTGTTCGTCCACACTCCGCCAAATGGAGGTGGCGAACGGCGAACATGTTCGGCCGAACACCGAACATGTTCGCCACGAACTATTTTTTTCTAAAAAAAAAATAGTTCGGTTCGCCTCGAACATGTTCGAGGCGAACCGAACAGGTGTTCGACATCTTGCTCATGTCTACCCGCACCATCCCTCACTCACTCTCCCCCCGCACCACCCCTCACTCACTCTCCCCCCACACCATCCCTCACTCACTCTCCCCCCACACCATCCCTCACTCACTCTCCCCCCACACCATCCCTCACTCACTCTCCCCCCACACCATCCCTCACTCACTCTCCCCCCACACCACCCCTCACTCACTCTCCCCCCACACCACCCCTCACTCACTCTCCCCCCACACCATCCCTCACTCACTCTCCCCCCACACCATCCCTCACTCACTCTCCCCCCACACCGTCCCTCACTCACTCTCCCCCCACACCGTCCCTCACTCACTCTCCCCCCACACCATCCCTCACTCACTCTCCCCCCACACCACCCCTCACTCACTCTCCCCCCACACCATCCCTCACTCACTCTCCCCCCACACCATCCCTCACTCACTCTCCCCCCACACCATCCCTCACTCAATCTCCCCCCACACCACCCCTCACTCACTCTCCCCCCACACCACCCCTAACTCACTCCCCCCCCCACACCATCCCTCACTCACTCTCCCCCCACACCATCCCTCACTCACTCTCCCCCCCACACCATCCCTCACTACCTCTCCCCCCACACCATCCCTCACTCACTCTCCCCCACACCATCCCTCACTCACTCTCCCCCCACACCGTCCCTCACTCACTCTCCCCCCACACCGTCCCTCACTCACTCTCCCCCCACACCACCCCTCACTCACTCTCCCCCCACACCATCCCTCACTCACTCTCCCCCCACACCATCCCTCACTCACTCTCCCCTCACACCACCCCTCACTCACTCTCCCCCCACACCATCCCTCACTCACTCTCCCCCCACACCATCCCTCACTCACTCTCCCCCCACACCATCCCTCACTCACTCTCCCCCCACACCACCCCTCACTCACTCTCCCCCCGCACCACCCCTCACTCACTCTCCCCCCGCACCATCCCTCACTCACTCTCCCCCCGCACCATCCCTCACTCACTCTCCCCCCACACCATCCCTCACTCACTCTTCCCCCACACCATCCCTCACTCACTCTCCCCCCACACCACCCCTCACTCACTCTCCCCCCACACCATCCCTCACTCACTCTCCCCCCACACCATCCCTCACTCACTCTCCCCCCACACCATCCCTCGCTCACTCTCCCCCCACACCATCCCTCACTCACTCTCCCCCCGCACCACCCCTCACTCACTCTCCCCCCGCACCATCCCTCACTCACTCTCCCCCTGCACCATCCCTCACTCACTCTCCCCCCGCACCATCCCTCACTCACTCTCCCCCCGCACCATCCCTCACTCACTCTCCCCCCACACCATCCCTCACTCACTCTCCCCCCACACCACCCCTCACTCACTCTCCCCCCACACCATCCCTCACTCACTCTCCCCCCACACCATCCCTCACTCACTCTCCCCCCATACCATCCCTCACTCACTCTCCCCCCACACCATCCTTCAGTCACTCTCCCCCCACACCACCCCTCACTCACTCTCCCCCCACACCACCCCTCACTCACTCTCCCCCCACACCATCCCTCACTCACTCTCCCCCCACAACATCCCGCACTCCCACTCCCCCCACACCACCCCTCACTCACTCTCCCCCCACACCATCCCTCACTCACTCTCCCCCCACACCATCCCTCACTCACTCTCCCCCCACACCATCCCTCACTCACTCTCCCCCCACACCATCCCTCACTCACTCTCCCCCCACACCATCCCTCACTCACTCTCCCCCCACACCGTCCCTCACTCACTCTCCCCCCACACCGTCCCTCACTCACTCTCCCCCCACACCGTCCCTCACTCACTCTCCCCCCACACCACCCCTCACTCACTCTCCCCCCACACCATCCCTCACTCACTCTCCCCCCACACCATCCCTCACTCACTCTCCCCCCACACCATCCCTCACTCACTCTCCCCCCACACCATCCCTCACTCCCTCTCCCCCCACACCACCCCTCACTCACTCTCCCCCCACACCATCCCTCACTCACTCTCCCCCCACACCACCCCTCACTCACTCTCCCCCCACACCATCCCTCACTCTCCCCCCACACCATCCCTCTCTCACTCTCCTCCCACACCATCCCTCACTCACTCTCCCCCCACACCATCCCTCACTCACTCTCCCCCCACACCCATCCCTCACTCACTCTCCCCCCACACCATCCCTCACTCACTCTCCCCCCACACCACCCCTCACTCACTCTCCCCCCACACCATCCCTCACTCACTCTCCCACCACACCATCCTTCACTCACTCTCCCCCCACACCATCCCTCACTCACTCTCCCCCGACACCACCCCTCACTCACTCTCCCCCCACACCATCCCTCACTCACTCTCCCCCCACACCATCCCTCACTCACTCTCCCCCCACACCATCCCTCACTCACTCTCCCCCCCACACCATCCCTCACTCACTCTCCCCCCACACCATCCCTCACTCACTCTCCCCCCACACCACCCCTCACTCACTCTCCCCCCACACCATCCCTCACTCACTCTCCCCCCACACCATCCCTCACTCACTCTCCCCCCACACCATCCCTCACTCACTCTCCCCCCACACCATCCCTCACTCACTCTCCCCCCACACCATCCCTCACTCCCTCTCCCCCCACACCATCCCTCACTCACTCTCCCCCCACACCATCCCTCACTCACTCTCCCCCCACACCATCCCTCACTCACTCTCCCCCCACACCATCCCTCACTCCCTCTCCCCCCACACCACCCCTCACTCACTCTCCCCCACACCATCCCTCACTCCCTCTCCCCCCACACCATCCCTCACTCACTCTCCCCCCACACCATCCCTCACTCACTCTCCCCCCACACCATCCCTCACTCACTCTCCCCCCACACCATCCCTCACTCACTCTCCCCCCACACCATCCCTCACTCACTCTCCCCCCACACCATCCCTCACTCACTCTCCCCCCACACCATCCCTCACTCGCTCTCCCCCCACACCACCCCTCACTCACTCTCCTCCCTCCACACCATCCCTCACTCACTCTCCCCCCGCACCATCCCTCACTCACTCTTCCCCCACACCATGCCTCACTCACTCTCCCCCCACACCATCCCTCACTCACTCCCCCCCCACACCATCCCTCACTCACTCTCCCCCCACACCATCCCTCACTCACTCTCCCCCCACACCATCCCTCACTCACTCTCCCCCCACACCATCCCTCACTCACTCTCCCCCCACACCATCCCTCACTCACTCTCCCCCCACACCATCCCTCACTCGCTCTCCCCCCACACCACCCCTCACTCACTCTCCTCCCTCCACACCATCCCTCACTCACTCTCCCCCCGCACCATCCCTCACTCACTCTTCCCCCACACCATGCCTCACTCACTCTCCCCCCGCACCATCCCTCACTCACTCTTCCCCCACACCATCCCTCACTCACTCTCCCCCCCACACCACCCCTCACTCACTCTCCCCCCACACCACCCCTCACTCACTCTCCCCCCACACCACCCCTCACTCACTCTCCCCCCACACCACCCCTCACTCACTCTCCCCCCACACCATCCCTCACTCACTCTCCCCCCACACCATCCCTCACGCACTCTCCCCCCACACCATCCCTCACTCACTCTCCCCCCACACCACCCCTCACTCACTCTCCCCCCACACCACCCCTCACTCACTCTCCCCCCACACCACCCCTCACTCACTCTCCCCCCACACCACCCCTCACTCACTCTCCCCCCACACCACCCCTCACTCACTCTCCCCCCACACCATCCCTCACTCACTCTCCCCCCACACCATCCCTCACGCACTCTCCCCCCACACCATCCCTCACTCACTCTCCCCCCACACACCACCCCTCACTCACTCTCCCCCCACACCACCCCTCACTCACTCTCCCCCCACACCATCCCTCACTCACTCTCCCCCCACACCATCCCTCACTCACTCTCCCACTCCCTCACTCACTCTCCCCCCACACCATTCCTCACTCACTCTCCCCCGGCACCATCCCTCACTCACTCTCCCCCCGCACCATCCCTCACTCACTCTTCCCCCACACCATCCCTCACTCACTCTCCCCCCGCACCATCCCTCACTCACTCTCCCCCCACACCATCCCTCACTCACTCTCCCCCCACACCATCCCTCACTCACTCTCCCCCCCACACCATCCCTCACTCACTCTCCCCCCACACCATCCCTCACTCACTCTCCCCCCACACCATCCCTCACTCACTCTCCCCCGGCACCATCCCTCACTCACTCTCCCCCCACACCATCCCACACTCACTCTCCTCCCTCCACACCACCCCTCACTCACTCTCCCCCCACACCACCCCTCACTCACTCTCCCCCCACACCATCCCTCACTCACTCTCCCCCCGCACCATCCCTCACTCACTCTCCCCCCACACCATCCCTCACTCACTCTCCCCCCACACCATCCCTCACTCACTCTCCCCCCACACCACCCCTCACTCACTCTCCCCCCACACCACCCCTCACTCACTCTCCCCCCACACCATCCCTCACTCACTCTCCCCCCGCACCACCCCTCACTCACTCTCCCCCCGCACCACCCCTCACTCACTCTCCCCCCGCACCACCCCTCACTCACTCTCCCCCCGCACCATCCCTCACTCACTCTCCCCCCACACCATCCCTCCCTCACTCTCCCCCCACACCATCCCTCACTCACTCTTCCCCCACACCATCCCTCACTCACTCTCCCCCCACACCACCCCTCACTCACTCTCACCCCACACCACCCCTCACTCACTCTCCCCCCACACCACCCCTCACTCACTCTCCCCCCACACCACCCCTCACTCACTCTCCCCCCACACCATCCCTCACTCACTCTCCCTCCACACCATCCCTCACTCACTCTCCCCCCACACCATCCCTCACTCACTCTCCCCCCACACCACCCATCACTCACTCTCCCCCCACACCACCCCTCACTCACTCTCCCCCCCACACCATCCCTCACTCACTCTCCCCCCACACCATCCCTCACTCACTCTCCCCCCACACCATCCCTCACTCACTCTCCCCCCGCACCATCCCTCACTCACTCTCCCCCCACACCACCCATCACTCACTCTCCCCCCACACCATCCCTCACTCACTCTCCCCCCACACCATCCCTCACTCACTCTCCCCCCGCACCATCCCTCACTCACTCTTCCCCCACACCATCCCTCACTCACTCTCCCCCCGCACCATCCCTCACTCACTCTCCCCCCACACCATCCCTCACTCACTCTCCCCCCACACCATCCCTCACTCACTCTCCCCCCGCACCATCCCTCACTCACTCTCCCCCCCGCACCATCCCTCACTCACTCTCCCCCCACACCACCCCTCACGCACTCTCCCCCCACACCACCCCTCACTCACTCTCTCCCCACACCACCCCTCACTCACTCTCCCCCCACACCATCCCTCACTCACTCTCCCCCCACACCATCCCTCACTCACTCTCCTCCCACACCACCCCTCACTCACTCTCCCCCCACACCATCCCTCACTCACTCTCCCCCCACACCACCCCTCACTCACTCTCCCCCCACACCATCTCTCACTCACTCTCCCCCCACACCATCCCTCACTCACTCTCCCCCCACACCATCCCTCACTCCCTCTCCCCCCACACCACCCCTCACTCACTCTCCCCCCACACCATCCCTCACTCACTCTCCCCCCACACCATCCCTCACTCCCTCTCCCCCCACACCATCCCTCACTCACTCTCCCCCCACACCATCCCTCACTCACTCTCCCCCCCACACCATCCCTCACTCACTCTCCCCCCACACCATCCCTCACTCACTCTCCCCCCACACCATCCCTCACTCACTCTCCCCCCACACCATCCCTCACTCACTCTCCTCCCACACCACCCCTCACTCACTCTCCCCCCACACCATCCCTCACTCACTCTCCCCCCACACCATCCCTCACTCACTCTCCCCCCACACCATCCCTCACTCACTCTCCCCCCACACCATCCCTCACTCACTCTCCCCCCACACCATCCCTCACTCACTCTCCCCCCACACCATCCCTCACTCACTCTCCCCCCACACCATCCCTCACTCACTCTCCCCCCACACCATCCCTCACTCACTCTCCTTCCACACCACCCCTCACTCACTCTCCCCCCACACCATCCCTCACTCACTCTCCCCCCACACCATCCCTCACGCACTCTCCCCCCACACCATCCCTCACTCACTCTCCCCCCACACCACCCCTCACTCACTCTCCCCCCACACCATCCCTCACTCACTCTCCCCCCACACCATCCCTCACTCACTCTCCCCCCACACCATCCCTCACTCACTCTCCCCCCACACCATCCCTCACTCACTCTCCCCCCACACCATCCCTCACTCACTCTCCCCCCACACCATCCCTCACTCACTCTCCCCCCACACCATCCCTCACTCACTCTCCCCCCGCACCATCCCTCACTCCCTCTCCCCCCACACCATCCCTCACTCACTCTCCCCCCACACCATCCCTCACTCACTCTCCCCCCACACCATCCCTCACTCACTCTCCCCCCACTCCACCCCTCACTCCCTCTCCCCCCACACCATCCCTCACTCACTCTCCCCCCACACCATCCCTCACTCACTCTCCCCCCCACACCATCCCTCACTCACTCTCCCCCCACACCATCCCTCACTCACTCTCCCCCCACACCATCCCTCACTCACTCTCCCCCCACACCATCCCTCACTCACTCTCCCCCCACACCACCCCTCACTCACTCTCCCCCCACACCACCCCTCACTCACTCTCCTCCCACACCACCCCTCACTCACTCTCCCCCCACACCACCCCTCACTCACTCTCCCCCCACACCATCCCTCACTCACTCTCCCCCCACACCATCCCTCACTCACTCTCCCCCCACACCACCCCTCACTCACTCTCCCCCCACACCACCCCTCACTCACTCTCCCCCCCACACCATCCCTCACTCACTCTCCCCCCACACCACCCCTCACTCACTCTCCCCCCACACCATCCCTCACTCCCTCTCCCCCCACACCACCCCTCACTCACTCTCCCCCCACACCATCCCTCACTCACTCTCCCCCCACACCACCCCTCACTCACTCTCCCCCCACACCACCCCTCACTCACTCTCCCCCCACACCATCCCTCACTCACTCTCCCCCCACACCACCCCTCACTCACTCTCCCCCCACACCACCCCTCACTCACTCTCCCCCCACACCATCCCTCACTCACTCTCCCCCCACACCATCCCTCACTCACTCTCCCCCCACACCATCCCTCACTCACTCTCCCCCCACACCATCCCTCACTCCCTCTCCCCCCACACCACCCCTCACTCACTCTCCCCCCACACCATCCCTCACTCACTCTCCCCCCACACCACCCCTCACTCACTCTCCCCCGGCACCATCCCTCACTCACTCTCCCCCCACACCATCCCTCACTCACTCTCCTCCCTCCACACCACCCCTCACTCACTCTCCCCCCACACCACCCCTCACTCACTCTCCCCTCACACCATCCCTCACTCACTCTCCCCCCACACCATCCCTCACTCACTCTCCCCCCACACCATCCCTCACTCACTCTCCCCCCACACCATCCCTCACTCACTCTCCCCCCACACCACCCCTCACTCACTCTCCCCCCACACCACCCCTCACTCACTCTCCCCCCACACCATCCCTCACTCACTCTCCCCCCACACCATCCCTCACTCACTCTCCCCCCGCACCACCCCTCACTCACTCTCCCCCCGCACCACCCCTCACTCACTCTCCCCCCGCACCATCCCTCACTCACTCTCCCCCCGCACCATCCCTCACTCACTCTCCCCCCGCACCATCCCTCACTCACTCTTCCCCCACACCATCCCTCACTCACTCTCCCCCCACACCATCCCTCACTCACTCTCCCCCCGCACCATCCCTCACTCACTCTCCCCCCACACCACCCCTCACTCACTCTCCCCCCACACCACCCCTCACTCACTCTCCCCCCACACCATCCCTCACTCACTCTCCCCCCACACCATCCCTCACTCACTCTCCCCCCGCACCACCCCTCACTCACTCTCCCCCCACACCACCCCTCACTCACTCTCCCCCCGCACCATCCCTCACTCACTCTCCCCCCGCACCATCCCTCACTCACTCTCCCCCCACACCACCCCTCACTCACTCTCCCCCTACACCATCCCTCACTCACTCTCCCCCCACACCATCCCTCACTCGCTCTCCCCCCACACCACCCCTCACTCGCTCTCCCCCCACACCACCCCTCACTCGCTCTCTCCCCACACCACCCCTCACTCGCTCTCCCCCCACACCACCCCTCACTCGCTCTCCCCCCACACCACCCCTCACTCGCTCTCTCCCCATACCACCCCTCACTCACTCTCCCCCCACACCACCCCTCACTCACTCTCCCCCCACACCATCCCTCACTCACTCTCCCCCCACACCATCCCTCACACACTCACTCTCCCCCCACACCACCCCTCACTCACTCTCCCCCCACACCATCCCTCACTCACTCTCCCCCCACACCATCCCTCACTCACTCTCCTCCCACACCATCCCTCACTCACTCTCCCCCCACACCATCCCTCACTCACTCTCCCCCCACACCATCCCTCACTCACTCTCCCCCCACACCACCCCTCACTCACTCTCTCCCCACACCATCCCTCACTCACTCTCCCCCCACACCATCCTTCACTCACTCTCCCCCCACTCCACCCCTCACTCACTCTCCCCCCACACCATCCCTCACTCACTCTCCCCCCACACCATCCCTCACTCACTCTCCCCCCACACCACCCCTCACTCACTCTCCCCCCACACCATCCCTCACTCACTCTCCCACCACACCATCCTTCACTCACTCTCCCCCCACACCATCCCTCACTCACTCTCCCCCGACACCACCCCTCACTCACTCTCCCCCCACACCATCCCTCACTCACTCTCCCCCCACACCATCCCTCACTCACTCTCCCCCCACACCATCCCTCACTCACTCTCCCCCCACACCATCCCTCACTCACTCTCCCCCCACACCATCCCTCACTCACTCTCCCCCCACACCATCCCTCACTCACTCTCCCCCCACACCATCCCTCACTCACTCTCCCCCCACACCATCCCTCACTCACTCTCCCCCCACACCATCCCTCACTCACTCTCCTCCCACACCACCCCTCACTCACTCTCCCCCCACACCATCCCTCACTCACTCTCCCCCCACACCATCCCTCACGCACTCTCCCCCCACACCATCCCTCACTCACTCTCCCCCCACACCACCCCTCACTCACTCTCCCCCCACACCATCCCTCACTCACTCTCCCCCCACACCATCCCTCACTCACTCTCCCCCCACACCATCCCTCACTCCCTCTCCCCCCACACCACCCCTCACTCACTCTCCCCCCACACCATCCCTCACTCAGTCTCCCCCCACACCATCCCTCACTCACTCTCCCCCCACACCATCCCTCACTCACTCTCCCCCCACACCATCCCTCACTCACTCTCCCCCCACACCATCCCTCACTCACTCTCCCCCCACACCATCCCTCACTCACTCTCCCCCCACACCATCCCTCACTCACTCTCCCCCCACACCATCCCTCACTCACTCTCCTCCCACACCACCCCTCACTCACTCTCCCCCCACACCATCCCTCACTCACTCTCCCCCCACACCATCCCTCACGCACTCTCCCCCCACACCATCCCTCACTCACTCTCCCCCCACACCACCCCTCACTCACTCTCCCCCCACACCATCCCTCACTCACTCTCCCCCCACACCATCCCTCACTCACTCTCCCCCCACACCATCCCTCACTCACTCTCCCCCCACACCATCCCTCACTCACTCTCCCCCCACACCACCCCTCACTCACTCTCCCCCCACACCACCCCTCACTCACTCTCCCCCCACACCATCCCTCACTCACTCTCCCCCCACACCATCCCTCACTCCCTCTCCCCCCACACCACCCCTCACTCACTCTCCCCCCACACCATCCCTCACTCAGTCTCCCCCCACACCATCCCTCACTCACTCTCCCCCCACACCATCCCTCACTCACTCTCCCCCCCACACCATCCCTCACTCACTCTCCCCCCACACCATCCCTCACTCACTCTCCCCCCACACCATCCCTCACTCACTCTCCCCCCACACCATCCCTCACTCACTCTCCCCCCACACCATCCCTCACTCACTCTCCCCCCACACCACCCCTCACTCACTCTCCCCCCACACCATCCCTCACTCACTCTCCCCCCACACCATCCCTCACGCACTCTCCCCCCACACCATCCCTCACTCACTCTCCCCCCACACCACCCCTCACTCACTCTCCCCCCCACACCACCCCTCACTCACTCTCCCCCCACACCACCCCTCACTCACTCTCCCCCCACACCGTCACTCACTCTCCCCCCACACCATCCCTCACTCACTCTCCCACCACACCATCCCTCACTCACTCTCCCCCCACACCATCCCTCTCCTTCATACCTCACACCCCCTGCACCCCTCTGCATCCCTCCGTAACCCTCTTCCCCCCTTTCGTCTGAACTGAAGGAGTGCCGATCCCTCTCTGGTCGGCAACTCTGTCACGTTCATCTGTGTGTGGCGCCAACTCACCACCCGCTATTCCCTCTTAATACCTCTGCACTGCACCCCTCTGCATCCCTCTGCAACCCTCTTCCCCCCCCTCGTCTGAACTGAAGGAGCGCCGATCCCTCTCTGGTCGGCAACTCCGTGACAGCCATCTCTACATGGCGCCAACTGACTGTTAAATATGCCGACTATTATCATGGGGGGTCAGGAGCTGCTGATCTGGCTTACAGCTGTTACCCATGCCTCCTCTGCTCCCGCCCGTGCCTATCAGAACCCTCTCAGTCCTCAAGGCCTGCACGGTGCAGCACGGTGCCGAAACAAGTGTGGTCAGCACCCCAAGAAACCTTTCCTCAAATATTGTTTGCTGCCAATGCCTGCTCTGCTCCCCCCGTTTCCCTTATGAGAACCCTATCAGTCCTCAAGAGCATTATTATGCAGCAGCAGCATGTGCTCTCTAACATGGACAACCGGCACATTCACCTCATGCCATGCCTCCACTCCTGGGTACGTATGCTTCTTGTGTGCTTTGATAATTCATAGCAAATACCATACGTTACGTTTCTACAATAAAAGAATCTGTCGGTGCCTCTTCATACCACTCGGTATCCCAAGGGTCACCCTGACTCATGTTTCGAAGGGCTGCAGTAGTAGAGAGGACGCTTAAGCAAAGGAATCAGTGAAAAAAGGTGAGAAAAACGCAGATCTGAAAAAACCCTTAGCTTCCGAAAAGCCTCCTTGCGTAAACTAGTTTCGGCGGATGGGCGAACCCAATCACGCCTTCATCAGTACAGCACAATTCGGAACTCAGAAACAGAGAGTCTGGTAGCAGCTAAAATAGCTAGACTACCCTCGAGATCTACGTATAAGAAACCCAACTACCCAGAATCCAACTAGGAAAGGGGTTCGCCAACTAGGCAATGAAACAAATTCAGGGTGCCAAGTCAGCCTTCGGGAACTTCTTCGACAGCATTGGCGAGTGACTTTGGTAACCGCGCCCTTACGAGTAACCGCTGAAGGTTACGTGCACACTTCCATGCAATTATAATTCTCCCCACATAAAAACCGCGAGACATGAGACGACTTTTGAGGCGCCTCAACTTTTGAGGCGCCTCAAAAGATAATTCATAGCAAATACCATACGTTACGTTTCTACAATAAAAGAATCTGTCGGTGCCTCTTCATACCACTTCGTGCCACTCCAAGACACTCTGCTGAAATATTTCTTCTAGTCAGGTTCATCTCTCTGTGCTGCCACTGCCTCACTTCTCAGCCTCTCTCCCATCCTCCCATTCTCTCCATCCATCCCATCATTCTCCTCCACATGCTGCTCAACTGCACAGAGATCCTTATTTGGATCCCTTGTGAGACGTCTTACTACCCGTTACACCCATCATTCTCCTCCCTCACCAACCATCCCTTCCCTCTCTCCATCCCCTCATCCTCCTCCTCACAGCATGGTGCTCAATGGTACAAAGATCCTCATCAGGTAATCGTGAGCTCTCTTTAGGATGCGTCAGTACTGCCCTCCTTCTCTCAATGCACTCCTTCTTCCCTTCCCCCTCCCCCCCCCTCACCTTCAATCCCCCCCCCTCCACACAGCATGGTTCTCAACGGTACAGAGATCCTCATCCGGGAAGTGTGAGTGCCCTTCCTGTACCCTTTATAGGATGCACTCCTACCGTAACACGCATACATCATGATTCACGCAGGGTGCTATGCTCTCTCTACAGCCCCCCTTCAAATCTCTTGATCCGTGCAGTGCTCTATGATGATCCCTTGGCCAGTTTGACCGGCTTGACTGCAGTCCCACCTTCCCTTTCCAGCTCTTTTCGTTTCTCTCTCAAACACTCTAATCCACACAGTGCACCTCGTTGACCAGTTTGACCAGTTTGACCGCCTTGACTGCAACTCAGTCCCTCTCTCCCTTCAGCCATCTCCCTGCGCTCATCACCCACAGCTCCCTCTGCAAACCCCCCTTCACTCCCATTCCATCCAGCTCATCCCATCTCTTTCTCTCGAGCTCTCCATCCGCACCACGCGCCACATTGACCGCTTTGACCAGTTTGACCAACTCTTCTTCCCTCCTACTTTCCATTCCCATTCAGGGTTTTGACTGGCTAAACTGGCGTCACATGCACATGTTTTCTCCCCACACCCTCCCACCTTCATTCCCTCTCCTTCCTTTCCCCTCCCATCCCAGCTCGTCTCATTACTCTTTGGAGCTCTCCATCCGCACCACGCGCCATGTTGACCGCGTTGACCAGTTTGACCAACTTCCCCTCTCCCCCTTTTCTACCCATTCCATGCCAGCTCGTCTCATTACTCTCTAGAGCTCTCCATCCGCACAACGCGCCATGTTGACCACGTTGACCAGTTTGACCGGGAGATGAGGGCAGCATGGGAGCACCTGTGTGGACTCATGGCTGATTGGATAAGGACAGGGGGAGGGACGAGTGGGCATGGAGGTAGGGCAGTGGAAGCTGCCATTCTTCGATTTGCATACTTCTGGTGAGAGTGACTGGTCACGAGGAACAGCCATGGTGGGATATGCAACGCTCCTAGGCCTCGTGGCAGATGACTTGACTGCGGGATGGGAGCTGCGGGCAGCATGGGAGCACCTGTGCCGACCCGTGGCCGATGGGGGAGGAGGAAGGGGAGTGGATGCTTCCATTCTGCGAGTTGCATACGTCTGGTGAAGCCATGGTGTGGGATATTCCATGGGGGGATATTCCATGGGGGGATATTCCATGGGGGGATATTCCATGGGGGGATATTCCATGGGGGGATATTCCACTCTCCTAGGCCTTTTCCAGAGGTGCTTATACATGCAGCAACCTGTCATTACAGTCACAAGTCCATGTGTGAAGTCCTTGAGTTTTACACTATCACAACCCCCCTTCGTCCAGGCAGGTATCAGGGGCAGCGCCTGGTACCATGGTGCGAGGAGGAGCCATGGTCGTGACGTAGCGCCATCCTCTCGGGCAGCTTCCTGTGCTACCCGTTCATGTACCAACTTCTCCTCTCACTACTGTCACAACCCCTTCATCCAGGTTCCAGGGACTGCCCCTGTCGTGAGGAACAGCCATGAAGGGTTATGCGACCCTCCTCCTGTGGTGCTCGACTAATGCAGATAAACAGCAACTTCCCATTTCTGTCACAATTCTTAAGGACGGAGCCTTCTGTTTATCTGAGCCCCCTTCATGCAGGCACCAGGCACTGCCCCTGTCACGAGGAACAGCCATGCTGGGATATGCCACGCTCTTAGCTCTTGCCCTGGGGTGCACCACTAATGGAGAAGTTTTTCATTGAAGTCACTATTCCATGTGTTTTGACACTATCTTAACGCATTCACCCAGGTACCAGGCACTGCCCCTGTCGCGAGGAACAGCCATGGTGGGATATGCCACGCTCCAAGGCCTCTTCCTGGCTGCTGGGAAGGAGATCACAGCAAGCATCCCCCCACGAATGCAGGTACGATTGTTTGCATCCTATGTTCCACATCGGGGATAGATGACTGCAGCCACAGGGGAGTGTACAACCCTTCCTGGCGTCTTCCAGTATTTTAGGCGCCTTAAAACGATTTTCGAGGCGATTTTTAGGCGCCTAAAAAATCGACATGACTGCAGCGACAGGGGAGTGTACAACCCTTCCTGGCCTCTTCTTGGTTGCCGGCGAAGAGACTGGCAGGAAGGGTTGCCGGCAAAGAGACCGGCAGGAAGGATGTCCCCAGTAGGTAGGTATGCGCTTTCGTTCGTACCAAGATATAAGTATTTTATTAAGGTATAATCCGTTACAAGGATGCCTGTACGGGGGTATTCCTCTTCTCTATCTCAAGTCTTCAGGGCTTTTGTATGCATGTGTGCTCTTACCCCGTAGGTTTACTTCAAAGCATAGCTAACACTTGATGTGTGTTGGTCAACCATATGTCTGCATGCATCAACACTCTTTACCCTTAACCTGATGTACCCTTCGTGCACCTCAGGTGGACTGGGAGGCAATGCTGACACCATCGGTGGATGACTTTATATCGAGGATGTCAGAGTGGATGTATCCCTCTATTGTTGATGCAAGAAGCTTTCACACCTTGCCTGGCATCCACCAGGCATTCCCCACTGTAGATTCTGTGCTAAAGATGATGGCTGATGTCTGGGTAGATGCTTGTAAGTGTGTTGTGTCAGAGTGGATGTATCCAACCAATGTCAATGCAAGTGGCTTCCACAGCTTGCCTAGCATCCACCAGGCATTCCCCACTGTGGAGTCAGTGCTAAAGATGATGGCTGATGTCTAAATTGTGGGCCATGCTCCTGCCTTCAGCGGATGACTTTATATCGAGGTAATTGGAGCGGATGTATCTTTCCAACACAAGTACCGGTTTATCATTTGGTGTTTCTTAAAAACAATCATTGATTGTACACCATTCTGACCAGATTTCGGCACCCAAAACTGGGTGGATCTCAAGCTCAAGCATATCAGCGACTGGGATCTACTCAGGCAGCCAAAATCATTCCGTTGCCGGTACTTGAACCCGGGTCTCTCGGGTGAGAGCCGAGTATCCTAACCGACTAGACTACAACGGATGTTACGAGAAATAATTACAGTTTTTTGTTCTATAAATTTACCAACTGCTCCACCTGCTAACTAGCATCGGCCACCTTCTCGTACAGAAAAAAACATTTTCCTCTCACATAACAAGCCTTTGAAGCCTCTCTTAAACATGGTTTGAGTAAACTAAGTGGAAAAATGCAATCCGACTGGAGAATGCGGAAAGCACCCAGGGCTGACTTTTCGAATAAAACCACTCTGATTTTTTTGGCCCCCCAATTTTTTTTAGTCAGAGGCCCATTTTCCAAAAAGTGAATACTCTGATTTCTCAGGAACCAGAGAAGTATAACTCTGAAAATTTTATAATTCAGAGACTAAGGCAGGTTTTC